TTCTTTATGCAGAGCCACGGTATCATGTCGGAAGATCAATTTGTTTTAAAGTTCTAAGCAGCATTAAACGGCGTTCCGGCTCAGGGCTGTGGTGTGACCAAAGGCCTCCAGAACCACCAAATCAATGCTTCTAACTTCAGACTCACTTGTATTTGTAGCCATTAGTTGACTCTTTTCAGGCTTGAACAGGACATTTAGTTTCAATTACGGTACTTAAATGTTATGAAGTAGAAAAAAAGTTACGTCTGAGTCCTGTTTGGTGGCAAAAGATTGGCAGGGACCACTCTCCAAAATGGCAGACTTCCAGTAAGGTTTGGTTATGAATTGTACTAGAGTTGGAGCTGTGCTGAAATCACACTTTTTCCTGAAAGAAAAAAATGCATGCAGTATTTTTACACAGTCACCAAGTGGAAATTTACAGAGTTGTCAAAATGGAACATGCTATGAAATTAGGGAGGCACGAAATTGGATTTTTGGCCAATATCGGATATGCCGATATATTAAAACTCATTTGGCCGATAACTGATACCAATACCGATATTTTTTTTTCCTATACTTGCTTACTGAAACTTTACTGCTTTCTCTTCTGCATTTTCCTTGTCAATTTATCCTGCTGCCAAGTACAAATGCTAAAAAGAGGCTGCAAATGATGTAACATTTTAAACTTGCATTATGTTTAATGTCAAGTTTATTTGTGGCATCTGCTCTCAGTCATAAAATGACAACAATTTTGCAAATCTTCACAAATAAAACTCACCAGTTGGTCACAAGCAACAAGTAAAAAGCACATCAGTTGTGCATTAATACTAAATAGTTTCTTATGATATTGGGCTGCAGGCATCATTGTCACTTTTTTGTCATATAAAAACAATTCCTTCTATATCGATTAATTATTTTTGATAGATTGGCTGACGTCCAGTATTAAATTTTACAGCTAATATCGGGTGATACTACTATCATGCCGATAATATGATATCAGTAAAACTATTAGGCTACATGAAGCAAAAAAAAAAGAGGAGCTAGGGTCAACATGATTACACCATCCACAGATCTCTTAGCCGCTATTGCTGAATATAAGGATAAGCAACTTGTAATTCAAATGTCAAAGTTCACAAAGTAAACAATCTACTCACTTTTATTTTTTGCCCCAGGAAGCAAAGCCCAAAATAAATCGAATAATGCCCTAGATTAAAACCTCATGAAATATGTTGGGATAAATTATTTAGATTTTGCTATATTGTCTCTGCAATTTCTTTCTGTGTCAGATGTGACCTATACACAGCCAGGTGATCACCACCCAGCCACACGCATAAACAGATGTTGCTCTATCTTCCAGCTGCTGTAATCTTCTTAAAGCCTCGCTGTTCTGATTACATTATCACCTTTAATGGAATATGGGTGACACAGTTTAGGTCTCTGACACAGGAGGGGCTGCGCTGGCAGGAAGGATCAGTAAAGAGAATCGCTTTAATGCCCATCATCAAATATGAATGTCCTTTATTTTAGCCACTGTGCTTTATAAAGTATCTTCTCTGAAACTGAAACAGGGCTGGGATTCACAAACAATAGGATAGATGATTTATTTTATTTTCGTACCAGGGTATTTTTGTGCTCTGGAAATTTATACACCCAGTCTACTAATGATGCACATTAAATTTCAGTCATTTGAGTATTTCTGCAGATGCCAAACTAAAATCTTATTGTCTTACAGTCTCTGTAACCAAGAGACTGTAAGACAAGAAGTGAAAAGAGCATTTTTTATTACTTGAAAAATGCTCTTTCAATAAAGTTTGACTGATTGAGTCGCTCCATTTCTGTGCTATTAGTTGCTAACTGGTCAGTCGCCTCTTTCATATTTTATTCATTTGAGTCATTTCTAACTTTCCGCAGAAATCCTTATTCAGAGATTACCAACCACTGAGACCGCTCCTTTCTCCTCTATATGTCTGCTTTCCATTCTTAGTGCATGCTGTTGTATGTTTTGCTGAGGATTCATCTGTATTTAGAAGGAAGACAGTGGGAAGCATTTGAGAGTCTCTGGTCCTTCATCAAGGAACGTCTCCGGTTCAATGCCTCCATCAAAAAGCAGTGGCATCGATGTAATTACTTGAGCAGAAACAAGGCATTTATCACACAGCTGTTGAAGCTTATAGGATGAAGGCTGGCTTTTGTGTTTTTGTGGGTAATGAAGGATTATTAGCTGAGCAGGGCTTCATTAGTTCTATGTTTATTCTTGGCATAAGCACTGCGTTGAGTTAGTATTCTCCACACTGGCTTTAATTATTGTAGAAGTATAGCCTGGCTTCCAACCAACAGGTTTGCAACATAGCTTGCAGCATCAGACTCATTGGATGTCATCACTTTAGCAGGATGTTTACCACTCGGTCAGTTCTTGTCAGTTGGAGGTCAGGGCTCGTCTTTGAGACAACTCAGTCTGGGTAAGCTTTTAGGAAATGAGGAAATGCTTGGTGGACAAAGCTGAATATGTGATTTGTCTTTGACATAATGGAGAAAGAAGGAGAAGACAAGATGAACACATTCGAGTGCAAAGGAAAAAGAAAGGGTCTCTTGAGATGCACGGCCATTCCTGCCTGTCTGAGTGTGTAATACAGGGGGAGGGGTTGAGGACATCAAGAGGAGGAGAAGAGGAGGATGATGCTGAGTGGGTGGGTGGAGGTTGTAATGCTGGCAGGTCGTTTATAACCTTCTGTCTTTGCTCAGATGTGCTTTAACAAGAGACACACATTGATCTGGAAAGAGGAGCCGGATAAAACGACTCCAGAAGCCAGTGTACGCATTAAATGATCAACTATTAGTCAAATCTGGAATTTCTACGATGCCGGTGTATTTATGTCTTTGCTGTCACTGTATTTAAAGACTAAAATATGCAACAACAAAAAAACACACACACAAAAAAAGTCTTTGGCTATATTTTCAGTTCAAATGGAAAGTTTGCAAAGTATACAGAGATTAGAGCCAGTGGAGATCATCAGGTCACTGTAACAGGCCAGTGTGCTGGAATCTGACAGATCAGAAGGAATTAATAAGGCAACAGGCCGATAAAATGCAATGAGAAGCTAAGAGGATCTAGATGAGCGAACAAAGGGTGGGCGTATTTATATTTATACAGAGAGATGCTGAAGAGAAAACAACAGAGAGAGGAGAGGAAACAGGAGTGAAGACTACAAAAATGGGTTCAACAAGAGGAGTTTATGCTTCGCCAAAACCAAGCCTCCAAATAGACTCAGCCTCCCTTAATCCCGTCATCTCTTACTCTAATTGTTTGCGCACATGTTTAGTAAACTACACCAGACTGTATGTGCACAATAATGAATGGATTCCATGTGCTTCTTTAACATCAGAGCTTATGGAAGCCTGGGTCGAGGTGGGAAGATGAGAAAAACGCCCAGCGAATAGAAAGAAAAAGTAAAGTCAAAATGAATGAAAGAAAAGCTTCCAGGCTTTTCTGGGACCATCTGTCCATGAAACAGCTCACTTCCACTATTCTGCTGTCCATTTGCTTCAGAAGCACACATCTGATTTCCTCTGAGGAAATGTTAAATGTCCTTAAAATGTCACCAAGTAACTTGACATTTTCATTCTTTCTCATTTATTTATTTATTTTTTTACATATTTACATGTTACATCTGCAAATTTTAGTGGGATTTGAGAGACAAACAATGTACAACTTAGTTTGGAAGTAGAAGATAAATACATATACAATACATCGTTTTTTAGCACCTATTTAAATAAAGGAAAAATATTAAAGACGTAGCATTAGTTTTCGTCCACAAAACGTTTTGCAGTGGGTCCAAAAATTACATTTATGTTTCAACAAATAACTGGGATCCATGAATAAAACTCCTTTTAGCAGATTCTTCCATCACTGGTAGCATTCTTGTAGAAACAGTCGCCCCATTGTGTGGAGTACATGGAAGACAATTAACTATGATGGGAATAAAACTAAAATAAATATTTTTAATGCAAAGATAAAACCCAACAATTGAAGGCCATGATTACTTTGCCATAGACAAAGATCAAAATTAATCTGTGAAAATGTGATTGGCTTTCTTTTTTTTTTTTTTTTTTGTCAAGACAATAAATTTATAAGGACATTGATCTTCAAACAAATCAATCACAAAATCGTGATCAATTATGCAAGTATTTCTAAAAATCTATATGTGATTTTCTTAAATAGAGATAAATATAAGATGAAACCTTCTAGCAATCATAAAATTGAAGATAATTTGTGATTGTGCAACCAGTGATCAGTGTGAATTCATGAATGAACACCTGAACTTCTGTCTGTGTACCTACAAACTCAAACAAGTTGTCATTATTTGTCGTGCAAAACGTCTTGTTTTGCCCCAAAAAATCTGAATTTAAAACCATCTGACATAATTTGTGACACGTGATTGAGCAGCATAAAACATTCAGTGGCTTTGAAGCGCCCTAAACTGCATGAGGTCTGTTAGTTTGCACGGCTCTGGTCGCTTCGTTGAGTTTTGCTGCCTATTTTCTGCTCTCCAAATGGTTACCTCCTCTTTAGGTCAGAGGTCAGTGATTTTCTGAAACAGCATTATCTTTTTCTATGAAAGGTCAGAGAAGGTCACACTTCATATAAGAATATCTGACTTAGATGCAAACACCACCTCGTTTTAAACACTGTTGCTTGGCCAGATGTTAGTCTGTATTTGTCTATTTTGCACATCTGTCTCCCTCAGCATGTGGACAGAGTCGTATGTCTCACTGGGCTCCGTCAGTCAACAATTCATTTCCATTTTCCATTTACTTCAGAGCCTCTTTTCTTGAACACATCAGTTCCCTTTTCACTAAAACTTACCCCAGGCTTTAATTTCACTCGCTGGCTGCTTTCCAGTTGAGTTCTGTTGTCAGCAGAGAGTCCTGTACTTCACTTAAGCAGGAAATCTTTGCCTGGACTCTCTTTGTGTTTGCTCCAGTGCTTAACCTCGGTATTTGTGTGTTTTTTTGCGATCCAGGGGGCCCGAGTTTGGGTCAGGGAGAAGGAGCAGCTGCTCCCAGCCACTGTCAACTCCTGTGGAGATGGAACCCTGGTGGTCACAACGGACTATGGAGAGGTAAGGAGTACGTGGAGAGCAGCAGCGGCTGCACCTTTGCTCGCGGAATATTTAATGTGATGGTGAAACTGCTGTGTCGTTTCATCCCGTCTTCGCTGATCAATACAAACCGCTGGCCTTAATGCGGCACGTTTCTGCCCCAGTTCTCTGCTCCTCCTCTTCATCCTCATACATATTCAGGATTCATCTCTGGCACACATTCAGCCTTCAGAGGAGAGCTGAGACTGATAAAATAATCATTCTAGAAGGAACCGGCAGTTTATTAAGATGATAGTGCAAAGAAACTCATTTACTTCTTTGATTTATTTCAGTAAGTAAAAAGTAATTAGAAAACCTAGAATGAGCCTATAGGGCAACACCATCGTAGCAATAATTCACATTGAAATGTGTACTTAAATACGGCAGGACATAAATCCTTAAACATAAACACAAATACAAACCAAAACACAAACACCTGTACATCATGACAAAAAGATAAAGTTATTTTAAAGTTTCAAAATAACTTTAACAGAGGCACTAAAATATCTGCCTCTGTATGAAGACTTCCCAAATCAATATATTCTACATTAGCTTATAAAATATATCTACATTAAGCGTTAAAATCAACGTTTGGAGACGTATTTTGTCAGAATGCCCATTGGCAGCATTTAAAGAACACATGTCTTTGAAGTACTGAAACTCTCTTTTATTAATGTGCAATTAATTCATTTTTTTGTGGCCTTTCAAACAACCCTAACAGGCCGAACGTTTTGATGTTTCTGCTTTGATTATACGGTACGGCGGTGCAACCAGGAGGGCGAGGCGTTTCCCAAAATAGCGGTTATGGGAACAAGCGTTCTCCTTGCAGTGGATTATCTGCTGCCAACCCAACCCCCATCCAGCTCTGCTTACATCCTCGTGTTCCCGCTCTCTGCCAGCGGCTGGTGTTTAAATGTTGCCTCTGCAGGTGAATATTTGATAGCGAGTCAGCAGGATTGGGGGCTATGCCCTGGTACAACGGGATCTCACCTATGCGGTCTGTGACTCCAGATCCATCCCCGCTGTTTTTAGCTTCTCCCACTTGGTTGGGAATGCACAATTGACCCCATAGACCACAGAGGCATGTGACCCCTGCAAGCATCCTGCTGCTAAAGAGCATAAAGCAGCTTAATCTTTAACAGCATTTATAGCTTCAGGTGTTTGCGTTATATTTAATTCAGTTCGCCCCAATATGCTCTCTCTGTTTTAGAAATTGCAGCCGCAAAACTTAGAAGCACACACAAGATTAAAACCCGCCACACAAAGACGTGCAGGCTGCTGAAAAAACGTGTACAAGAAATTACGAATGGACGTCGTTTCTTGTTGAATTATGGGAAAACAGTGTAAATTTCAAATCAGATCTGATCAAATCTAATCAGAGGGAATGCTAATTTCTCTTCTTCAGAGCAGGGGTCTTTAGCCCATCAGCCAGGGCTATTAGTAACTTTTTCCAAAATCTACAAGGAAATGGGCAATAATTTTTAGTTTTGGAAACTCTTTTGAAAGAACATCTGAGATGTTACACAGCTGGATATTACCTATTCACATGCCACTGTTACCTCAGGACATTTAAAAGGTCTCTGACCTCAATGCCAACAACATGCATGCATTCTAATATTTACAGAAATTAAGAAAAGAATTGGGATAATGAGGGTGAATTGAAATATATACTATGATTGTAATACAGTATCACAATTATTCTGATATTGTGCAGCTCTGTTTGATAGACTTAATATTGTTGAAACAAAGCTTTTTAGATTGTAAAGGGATGCTGACGCTTGTTTTAAAGTGAAGCTGGACTTCGTCACCAAACTCTTTTCTAAGTAAATTCAGAAACTCTCAACTCTCATCTCATCTTGTTTTCCTTTAAAATGAAGTTTCTCTGTCATCACCTGGAGCTCATTAACATAAGGAAGAGCGGGGAAGAAATTTTACAAGTGACTCAAGAACGAAAGGACTCAAAGCAAACATATTTTTAATTTTTCCTTTCTGTTTTACAAGGATATATCTTGCAGAGTTATGAAGATGGATCTGATCAGATTAGTTGAATGAATATGTGATAAAACTAGGTCAGCAAAAAACACCAAAACTTGAAAATCAGATGACGTTAGTATTAAAGCTTTAGAGATAATGGAAAAAAGTAATTAAAATAAAAATATTTTTTTTTCCTGGTTCAGAATTATTTTAAACTCAGTTGGAAGTGTTTCTTCCCAACTTTTTGTTAAAAATCACACTTACTGCTTTTTCTATCGAACAGCCTGTCGATAAGGTTGATATGGTTACTGTTGGGAACAACATATTCACCTCATCACAGCTTATTCTGTGCATCTGCATTTCCATGACATGTATGTAGAAACACAGGTTGCAGCTGCGACGAGTTACGATTTGAGTGACCCGGATTTCAACGGAGACGACAAAAAAACTCTGCAGGGACGCATTAGCTCATGTTCACAGGCACAACTTCCACACTGCAGACAAAATACACCCTAAAATACACCGAGCGAAAACTATGCATGACTTTTATTCTGCATATGTAAAAATTAACAGTCTTATCTACTGACCCATTTTCTTCTCCAAAGACTCACAGCTTTTGACCCTGAGGGGATTTAGGTTATACACAGTTGCTGTGCTTCAAATGATGAGATGAATAAACGCTTCTAAATTTCAGCTTCGCAGTCTGTACCTCAAACAGATACGAAACTCTGCAAAGCAGGGAGATTTTAATCACCTTGAATTGTTGACACTTATTGCAAAACAACTTTCTTTGCCTTCGCTTCAGGGCTTCCTGGACTTGATAAAGACTTGGTAACGTGTCGGCCAATTTCTTCTGAAAACAGAATTAAAAACAACAGCAGTTTTAGTTTTTAGATGGAAACATTCAGCCACTGCTTGCATCTAAAACTGTTCAAAAAGATTTGAATAAAATTAAAGTGAGTTCTCCGCTCCTAACCAGAGAGGTGGAAGTCCGCACGATCAGGACCAAGGTCAGGGATGAGACCTGCCCCTGCGTACAGTGCCGTGTGATACTGAATCCCTCCTCTGCCGAGCAGAATATAGGTCACTGTGCCCACAGCACTCATCTCCCAGCCTTTCCATTTTTATCTCTCAGGCCCGCGCTCTCTCACTCTTGCTGCAGCTAATATGCGAAGTCAAATGAAGAGGCTTGTCTCCCTTGGCTCTGCTCCTGAATCATGCAAAGCAGCATTAAACATCAGAGATCCTTATGGCGAAAGTGCACACACGGAAAGTGCGTGAGTGTTTCCACAGATCAGGTTAAGAACGAAGTAATTTTGCAGAAAAGAAGCAACGGGAGATAGTGAAACGATCAAATGTGTTGTGTGTCCAGGAAAGGGAGTGTTCAGCAGATATTCAACACAAACACTTGTGTTGGGAAGAAAAATGCCAAATCATTTAAAAAATATTTAAAAGGTGCATACCTGGCTGAAAGAGTGTGAATAGTTTGTTAAAAATACATATTAAGCTCATTTTTAGCAGTCATCTTTTGGTAGAAATTTGTCGACATCCCCTATCTTGACTTGGAAATATTTGCCTCTCAGCCTCACAAAACGTTCTTCAGATGTTTTAGATTTTCTGCTTTGCTGATCCTACAGATTTCCTGTCAGGTTGAGGTCAGACTGGGTCAGAGTCTATCACACTGACGGCTACCAAACCTTTAATTTTCCTTTCATTGCGTCATGCAGAGGCTTGTGTGCCGAAGTTAACCTAACTCCATCCATCTTGACAAAAAAAAACAAACAATTTCTTATTGTTTCTGTCAAAGAACAAACATGAGCGGTTCAACAAAAGTGTGTTAATTTCATAAAAATATTTTTAAAGAAATAGGTAAAAAGTAGGTGAAGGATGTGCTGCTTCTGACGACAACTTATTGATCCTTTTTCAATATGTGATAAGTTGGATTTATTTTTGTTATTCGCAAATAAAATGAAGATAAAAATAAAATGAATGCATACATCTATATATTAATGTTTTATCCACAATATTTAATGTGGCTCGACTTTGTACCATATAGATTATTAATGATGCATTAGCCTTTTGTTACATTTTTCATTAGACTTTACTTTAGTTTTCATGCTTACAGTGGGGTTTATAACAAAGATCAGAGTTGCTTTTTCTTTCTTTCCACTGCTGATTATCCTGTTTCCCCTGACCAATCTCAAGTGTTTTCTCTCTTGATCTTCATAATAAATTATTAAACGCGAGATGCTCATTTTTAGACTCTCTGAGTTCTTGTTACTTTTCTGGGTGTTAAAATGAAACACGAATCTGTTCACCAGAATATGTGTTGAGTCCCACCTGAGGGCAAAATGTCCCACTGCAACTGCTTTTTAATTTCTGAGTCTTTGACATACTTTTCCACTTTAACATGTCTTCCTTCACAGAATCGCTTGTCCTGAGTTATGTAAATTTCTCAAGTGGGATTTTGAAGTCACGGGTATTTGAAAACAAATACGACTTGCACACTTATGCAAAATTGGTGCAAATAATCTTGCAGTATAACTTCCTTTGATAACAAATTGACCACTGACAGTTTTATTATTGCCTTTACCAACTCCTTTGGAATAAATTCAACTAAAACATTGTTTAGATGATTTACAGTAAGTTGATTTGTTGGAACATTTATTTAATACTTCACCACTTTCTGCGTCCCTGAGAAAAGATTTTTTTTTGTAACAAACACTTAAGGTGCCTTAGTGTAAGTCAAAGGATAAAAATGTTGAAAAGTACCACACTTAAGAACAGCAGAGGATCTATCATGCTATGGGCTAAGAGAGCCTGATTATAGTGGATCATGATTTCTTAGAAATACTGGCAAATTCCGGTGGGCTCTCTTGAAAGTCCAGTGGCGTCAACAAATGCAGAAAGTGTTGCATTCAAGTACTTTGGGGTGTTGTTTCCGCTTTACCCCAAATATTGCCAAGGCAGCCCCCAGTGTGGACTTTTATTGTTAATATGACCGCTCTGATCCGAGGCCTGCACCGTCGCATGCCTTAAACGTGCCTGTGCAAATGGCCAACAGATTTACAAAAAAAATGAACGACAGGAAAAAGCTGCGTGTTCAACACAGTGAAGAGATTTTCCCACATGAGTTGCTGCTTGTCCCCAATGGGAAGCCTGTCGGTTGAGGTGGCGTTGCTCCTAAATGGCCAAAGCGAAATTCACTGTGACAGAGCTGAGGGAGTGCAGAACCTCATGTGACCCAGATGTCCACACTGTCTGCTGCATGAGAAACCTGATGAAACTTTTACGCACAGAGCCCAAAAAAGTCAGAATAATTTGGATTAATTGGTTGGAATCTCCTCTGTAGAATATGAAACACACAGATCCTGTTTTAGTATGATTGAATGGTCATTTGTTTTCCATGGCAACTTTTTGATGTCGCCTAATGTGTGAATTATCTAGTTATAAGTCTTGTTTATGTCGTATTCATCTGCATCTGCAAAGCGTCAAATGCACGACCTGCAAATGATTTGGAATTAATAAAAGATGAAACAGAACTGCTGAATGCTTTACCTAATGATGCCAATGTGAGTATTTTGCCTCTGTAGCGAGTAGACACTTTGAAGGAGCCAGGAAGACGGGAGGCAGACTGAAATCTCCGAAGACCGGTGTCCAAGGGGAAGGAAGAAGACTCCCACAAACTGAGGAGGAAATCAAAGAGAATAAATAAAGAAAAATAAATCCATATACACAAAGAACTAAACACAACATCTTAACAAGAGAAATGAATTGAGAAAGGCAAGATTTTTAGAACATGAATAAACCTCAGTGAAAAAAAAAAACTGCAAAAGAAAACAATAAAAATCCACTGCAGGATTGTGACAGTATTAAAATAATACTGTAAGATTTTAATGCATTTTTGCTAAAATGTTATGAGCAAGTTGGGTTTCACATGTGACTACAGTCTACCTTTTTGTTGCTGTAGTGTGTGTGAAGCCTTTCTCTCTCTACCTTTCCTATAAAGTACTTTGTAGTGCATGATTCTCTAATTCAAATGGTTGAGAGTGATTGTTCAATAACAGCCTGAGGTCCCAGACTGAGCCATTAGGCTTCCAGACAGTCTATGATGCACACACATATTACTTTTAAAGAGTAATAGATCAGAAAGTCTGGGAGTGAAGAAGCACTAGATGATTAAAGAAAGCTACTGGAAATGTTTTGTAGTTCAGAAATTGCAAAAAACTTAATTAAAAAACGTATCTTGGAACTGCAACACATCAGTTATAGAGTGGGAAAAGAGGAGAAGACAGATTAACAAGCAAAAGAAAATAAGGCTAAAGGATTCTGAAGTGATTTTAGAGACACAAACAGAAACAAAGAAAGAAATTAAGAACATGACAGAATAATTTAACAGAGCGAGAGCTCATAAAGAGCAAAGCAGCGTGGAAAATCTTTGCAGAACAACTGATGTCAGGGACACATTAAGACAACATGGTCCAGCCGTAACATTCCTGCATGTTACAGCTGCCAAAACCTTTTGACCAGAAGGCACGTCAGTGCATCTCATGTCTCATAGAACCGCGAACGTCACGCAGATCAAACACTAATTAATACAGTAACAGAAAGCTCACACATACATATATTGGCTGCTTTCTGGTCACGTTAGCGTCTAATTGTGAAGTTTTCATGAAGTAACTTCAGATAAATCTACAAAATCTGATGCAGGTAAAATACAGATCCATTTATTTCCAGCAGATTTTCTTTGTTTTCAGAGAAGCTCCAAGAAGCAGGAACAGCATGTATTCAAGATGTGCTTTCATGTACTTCGATAGACAAAGGCATGTTCATGTGTCCGTTTTAATGTGCAACTTTGTTTTTCGTTTCACTCTGGTTGATTGATTTTTTTTTTTTTCTTTTTCATCTGTCTTTCCGCCCTTGGTAATTTTATTTATGTTCTGTTGAATCTGGGATTGTTTTTTGTTTTCATTGCTACCAACTTAGGTTTGGATTTAGAAAAAGCTGAGGTGAGAGGGTTAAGTTTAAATGTCTGTAAATGAAAAACTTAAAGAGAAATTATGTTTTTGAGCATCTTCTTCAACAGCTCTTTCCTTACTTGCAGTCGGAAGATGTTGCATCACAGTGAGCTTGCACAAAGGTGAATAAATCCCCAGAAATGGTGGATAACTAATCTCCAGTTTGGATGATTTAAACAACTTAAAACAAATGAAATTGAAAATGTATGTAATATGTCGCAGTTTTCTCAGTTCTGCATCTGCTACTAATACATTTTATTCATTTTATGAGACGTCAAATGTTTCAAACATTGGGATTACAGTGTTGCTGTCAGCTTCTAATGCAAGCCTACAGTAAATGTTTCTTTCCAGTGAAAGAAGAGGAATATTTAGGGAATATTTAGGTCAATTTATCACAGCTGAGTGAAGAAGCCCAGTGACTTTATAGGCTAGACCATCATCTGCATTTACCCACAAACTGGACATGAAATATCTATGATAGCTCGACATTTATAAAGGGAAAAAAAGAGTATGCCAACTGCAGAAACATGCAGACTAAAAACAGCACAATCACTCAAAATTAGCAAAGGATGATGACATGTTGATTTTTTGGGAGTGGTCTGCTATAGAGCAGCTCTTCACAGAAAAAAAAACTGTAAGTGAGGTGAAATAGATTAATTTAGGAACAGTTTGAGTGCATATGGCAAGCCCTGCTGTTACTCTCCACAGTCTACCAACACATCTGTTTCTGCAGTGCACAAGCAGTCACACACATTCACAGGGTGAAGGCTAGCTGTGTGTCATATCAGCATCCCTGTATTGTAAATGGCATGGTTTCTATTTTCAGACGAGCTGATTTCAGGGAAATAGGTGAGCGACCTTCAAGCTGAAACAGAAAACAGAACAGCAGTTACCTCCAATACCTCTGTGTGTGTGTGTGTGTGTGTGTGTGTGTGTGTGTGTGTGTGTGTGTGTGTGTGTGTGTGTGTGTGTGTGTGTGTGTGTGTGTGTGTCTTGGCTGGACACGGGGATCCGTCGTAACATCGTTTGCATGCCTGACCTGAATTCACACCGAGCTGCTTTCCCCTGTCAGGTCCCACCACATCAGATCTGTCTCACTTCCTCTCATCTTCTCTCTTCCCTCCACCACTTCTCCACGTTGCCATGGTGATGGATGGCTTAGAGGAGACGGGGGTCTGAGCCAAAACTGCTCTGTATAGTCATGAAAAAGCGGCTCTTGCAACTCTGGCATCTGTTGTCGTTCTAAAAACAACAATCTTTGACTAATTATCAAGCAGTAGCACCAATAAAAAGAAAGGGATCAGATTCGTAGATTGTTTTGCTTATGGGTTTTGCTTTAGGAAGCCTTAACATAATGATGCGAGACAGTTTGCGTGCCTCCTTGTGTGCAGGTGTTTTACCTGCAGCAGGCCGAGGTCACCAGGGAGCGGGTGTACGCGATGCACCAGTCCAGTATCGACGGGGTGGAGGACATGTCAGCGCTGGCTGAGCTGCATGAGGCTGCCATCATGCACAACCTCTACCAGCGTTACCAAAAGGACAACATTTACGTAAGTCAGGTCATCCTGGTTGTTGACACATGTGCAAGTCGATGTCTACTCTGTGTAAGCAACTGTATTTCTAACGTTTTATTAGAAATTGGGTAAAAATATGAGAATTAGAAGACTGTTTGCAACTGGAAATAGTCTAACCAACATTTAAACCTATCAGGAGATGAGTTACTCAGTACAACCACAAACTCTGAGGTTACTTGTTGTGATTTTAGGTGACAAAAAGCACGGCGGAAAATGATAAATGCTGTATTATTTTGTGTAAGATTTTCTCAGCATGAATCCAACTCTTCTGTTTAGACCTCAACAACTTATATCTACATTCTTGGTAGACTTAGGTTCAATTACATATGTTTCTTCTAGGTGAAAGCAATGTTAACTTGTTGCAGCCATAGTCCGAACTTAAATCACTTTGGAACCATAACAAGGAAGCTTTCCAACCTAAAAGAATTGTAGATGGGTTCAGAATCTGAAACTCTTGTTGGTGTTTTCAGACCAATATTGGAAGTATCCTGGCTGCTGTCAACCCATATAAACAGATCCCAGGCCTGTACGACCTGGACAGAGTGGACTTGTACTCCAAGCACCATCTGGGAGAACTCCCGCCGCACATTTTTGCCGTGGCCAATGAATGTTACCGCTGCATCTGGAAACGCCACGACAGTCAGTGTGTCCTCATAAGGTGAGTTCATGTTTCTGATTAACTGCTGGGTTGCATTGGACGTTTACTCTTTGAGCCTTTTCACATTTCGTCTGCAACTGCGAACTACATTTTTGTGATTCTGTCTAACAGATCAAGATAAAGAAAAACGATACATGGTTTTTAAAGTTTTGGACAAATAAAAATCTCAAGTCAAATCAGTTGCCTTATGTAGACACAGAGTGGGGTCAACAGATGCTGAAACACAGCTCAGCGTGGAAGGCTGCTGAAGATTAGACATGGAGATTCTAGAAATACTTAAACAGATGCGTGCCACACTTTTCAGATCTGTTAGTAAACAGTTTTCAAAACCAAGGACACTTTCTCCTCCACTTTTCAACAACATGTCACTTTGTATTGAAAGAAGGTAAGAAACCTAATTAAAGGAAGTAAACTCGATTTGTCGCTGCTGATGAAACAAAACTGATACATCAAAGTTTATGAATTGCTTCATCTTTCATTAACAAAAAAAAAAATCCTTCGCCACTGAATCAAGACGGTTTGCAGCTAAATGGTCTGATCCGAGTGCTTTCAATTACCCTCAACGTTATGGAAAGAGACTGGAACCTAATGAAATATCTGTGAAGCAATCAAGCCCCTCTATCAATTAGACGACCAGACCAGTCGGGGCTACTGGAATGTCACAGAAGGTCACTGGCTCTATAATTGGATTTGGGTTGTGTGCGTGTGTGTGTTTGCGTGTGTGTGTGTGTGTGTGTGTGTGTGTGTGTGTGTGTGTGTGTGTTTGTTCGCCAGTGGTGAATCGGGAGCGGGGAAGACGGAGAGCACCAAACTGCTGCTGCAGTTTCTGTCGGTGATGAGCCAGAACTCAATCGCTGCTCCTCAGTCGGAGAGAACCACGCACGTGGAGCAGGCCATCGTTCAGAGCAGGTGTGCAGGACGAAACGAATATTTTTACATTTTAGTCCGCTGAGTGTGCTTACCTTCATGTCTGCAGATTTACATCACATATTACTCTGTTATTATTAATCAAATAAATAAAGCTGAGCTCCTTTTCTGCTTCGGTTTTCATAGTTAAATTTGTGGATCAGAGTCACTACATTTGTATAAGCTGGAGTTTGAGACAATTACCTCTAACAAGAGCTTCAAACAACAGAATAGCTGGAAAATAAAAACGTTCAGGCCTCTATATGTTTATATTTAAGATGCAGCTGCAATATTTGGCAACCTTGATAAGTTGAAGTAAGAAGTTGCCATGATAAGAAAATGGCAACTATGAATTCCTTATAATAACCTGAGAGATCAATAAAAGCAGGCAGAAAATTAATTCAGTGATGATTAAGTTATTGCTTCAAAAATTAGTCCTACATATTTCAAATGCACCTTTTCCACTTTGACCTGAGTGAGTTTTTGTGTTGAAAATGTCGATCCTGACAGAAAACGCTGGAGATGATAGAGGTTCTGTTGTCGTTCTCCCAGAACGTTTTGAAACGTTTTCTACGTAAAACAACATAAAATCTGTAGATTCTTGTTTCCTTTTCAGTCCTATCATGGAGGCTTTTGGGAACGCAAAGACTGTTTACAACAACAACTCCAGTCGCTTTGGGAAGTTCATCCAGCTTCACTTCTCAGAGTGCGGCAACATCCACGGAGGCTGCGTCATCGACTGTATCCTTACTGTATGTGGTGGAACGACAGTTTTTTAAATGTTTATTTGTTTATTTTATAGCACATTTCAGCAACAAGCCAGTATATTAATAACAACAACAACAAAAAAAAGATTCTAGTCATAGTTGCTTCCTTGACTCTGCCTTTTAGATTTACTGGAAAAGGTAAATATACTTTATACCTTTCATGCCATTTTTTATTTTAAATGGAATGATTCATCAATTTTTAAATATAATGATAATTAATTTTTTTTTTCTCTCTGTAGAATCGTGTGGTACGACAAAACCCGGGAGAGAGAAACTACCACATCTTCTATGCTCTGCTGGCAGGAGCCAGTAAAGAGGATAAAAGTAAGTCCTCTAAATATTGGCAATGATAATTTTTTAAATATATTTTTGATTATTGATGTGCAAAGTATAATAAAAATAGCCAACCTTGTTGGAATGCACAAGTATTGTCAACCTACAGTGCCTTTCTCGAACTTAAAAAAGACACAAACCTTTAGGACAACAACCATAAATAAACCTACAGCTGCAGGGGTCAAGGTCAAAGAATCTGTTTACGTTTGAACGGTCCAGTCAAAGCTCAGACCATCTTTTCTATTTTGTCTTTCAAATAACATCCCAACAAAATACAGAAACAATTCTGGATGTAAAATGACAACTGCAACCCAGTATGCATATCATTTGTTTGTGAATCAGGTATAGATTTTAGTATTTTGGGACATCCTGGTGTTAGTTTAATATTGTGGATTTATTATAAAAAAACAATGTCAGCACACTGAAAAGAAATTAAACATGTCACATAATAATTCCACATGATAGAAAAGTTTTATATTTTATGCGAAATCCAAATTTTTGTGTTCCTGTGTGCTGAAAGCTAAAAGCTGACTTATTAATCAGCTTTCAGTTGTAAACAATTGGCCTAAGCTGAGATGAAAAGCTTATTTTACTTAACATAATATTCTGAAAATAAAGTATGCACTCATGAAAGTCTGATATGTCTCTGCAGGTCTGTATTTCCTGGAGGATCCTGCTGACTCTTTCCACTACCTCAGCCAATCAGGATGTCTGAAGGACAAGAGCCTGAATGACAAAGAACTGTACAACAGTGTTATGGTCGGTTTATGTTCAGTTAGCACGAAGAAGTAAACAATAGCGACCCTGTAAAAGTCCCAGACTTTCTCTCATTTTTAAAAAAATCTAAATTTCAGTATGCTGCTCCTATTCTCTGGAATAATCTACCTTTCCAGATTAGACCTGCTAATAGCCTGGATCATTTTAAATCGCTTCTTAAAACTCATTTTTATTCTTTAGCTCTTCATTGCTTTTTATTTATTTATTATTACTCTCATTATTTTAACAATATATATAGATATTTTTCTCTTGTATTGTTTCTCTTTTTCTTTTCATCAACTTACATTATTAACGTGTTTGGACAGCACTTTGGTGCAGTTTTACACCTGTTTTTAAAGTGCTATATTCATAAATTTGACATTGACAACATATGACTGTATATAAAGTAAACATTGCTTTTATGTGTCTCATGCCCTTGTCTTTGTGCAGGAGGCACTGAAGGTTTTAGGGTTTACAGAGGAAGAAATCAGAGACATGTTCAAGCTGCTGTCGGGGGTCTTGCAGCTCGGCAACATGGAGTTCATGCTCGCAGGAGGGGCTCAGATCACCACCAAGCAAGGTCAGGCTGCCGCTCGGTTGAAATGAGTCAGAAAGTTTAGGGTCAAGTTTGAGGAGCTCCAGAAACGTGTTCTCTTTCGTTTCCAGTGGTCAGTAACGCCAGTGAACTGCTGGGTCTGGACGCCTTCCAGCTCTCTGAAGTCCTGACTCAGCGATCCATAATCCTCAGAGGAGAGGAAATCTGTTCCCCTCTCACTATTGAGCAGGTCAGGGACATAAATACATCGTCCTTCGCCACTTTTGATTGATCTCCCTCAGGCGTGCACACAGTCGTTCTTACTCTCTTTCTGCGTCACTGCAGGCCATTGATTCCAGGGACTCTGTCGCGATGGCGCTGTATTCCCAGTGTTTCTCCTGGATCATCCTCAAGATTAATCAGAAGATCAAGGGAAAAGAAAATTTCAAATCCATTGGCATCCTTGACATCTTTGGCTTTGAAAACTTTGAGGTTAGAGCTCCAGCAAGTTATTTTTCACAAATACACATCATTTTGTTCACATACAATCTCAATAAAATATACTGTTGCTTGTGGTAAGACAGTAGAAAAAAAACCCCAAGACATGCTGTATTTCTGGGCTAATTTTGCATTCATGTCCAGAATTTCCAAGCTTAATTGGACATGTGTGTTGATCAGAGGATGTGTTGATATGCAGGTGAATCGGTTCGAGCAGTTCAACATCAATTACGCCAACGAGAAGCTCCAGTCCTACTTCAACAAGCACATCTTCTCCCTGGAGCAGCTGGAGTACAACAGGTGATGCTGAAAAACGAGCCGTGGGTCGCTGAGATTCAGCTCAAAATGTGCTGCTTGTTTCGTCAGTGTGTGACGATTTGGATGCGTTTATTGTGTAGGGAAGGAGTTCAGTGGGATGCCATCGACTGGATGGACAACGCCGAGTGTCTCGACCTCATAGAGAAGGTGTGAAACGTTGCTGTTGATGTGCACATAAAATGTCGATGTTGATTCTGTGACGCAGAGGCAGTTTGAACCTTTTTTTTCCCTCCTCGATGTCAGAAACTTGGCTTGTTGGCACTAGTGAACGAAGAGAGCCGATTCCCCAAAGGAACAGACTTCACTCTGCTGGAGAAGTTGCACAGCAGACACTCTGTGAGACATTCAATGCGCCACAGTTTAAGCTACTTTGCTGCAACTTTGCTGTTGTTAAATGCTGCACTTGTTGTCCGTTTCCTGCAGACAAACCCTTACTATGTGAAGCCCAGGGTTGCAGATCATCAGTTTGGGATCAAGCATTATGCCGGAGAGGTGAGCTCTGGTCAAATGAGCAGCTTTTGATATTCGCAAATCTGCTCATACGATCATTTTGACCGTGGGAAGTGTGTGTTTTGATCAGGTGCTGTACGACGTGAGAGGAATCTTGGAGAAGAACAGAGACACGTTCAGGGACGACATCCTGAACATGCTCAAGGACAGCAGGTAGGAGATTCAAACTCACAAAAACAAATCATTTTCTGTCAAACATTTCCCGGGACATTCGAGGGATCTTCTTTCTGTCGCCTAATGGGTTTTGAAAATGATATTGTCGTCTGTAAGTCATACAGACACAACCTGTATCATTCCCACAACCTAACTGAGTTCCTGCCATTTTTTTTTAAATTTCCTGTCGCCTCTCAGGTTGGACTTCATCTACGACTTATTTGAGAAGGTCGGCAGCAGAAACAACGAGGAGAAGATGGGGACGGCCAGACGTAAGCCCACAGTGAGCTCCCAGTTCAGGGTGAGTCATCGACATTTATTTCCTTTCGAACAGGAGACAGAACGACGTCCGGTAATCAGAAACATGTAACTAAGGAATCAGGAACTGTTTATTTCGCCAAGTAGTTCTTTTAATGATTTATTGATTCATTACTTAAAGTGGTAGTAATGAGTTATATTATTCTGTTACCAATGGGGCTGTTTTACATTATGTGAAAACAACAACAACAAAAAAATCTATATCATTTCATTGCTTTGTCTCTGCAGGACTCCCTCCATGCTCTCATGGCCACACTTAGTGCATCCAATCCGTTCTTCATTCGCTGCATTAAGCCCAACATGGAAAAGGTCACTTTGTTTGTATCTGGGCATATCTTTCCTCTAATTGACGTCAACCATTTTCTCTCTCTCTCTCTCAGGGTTTATATTGTTTAAGGTCTCTAAATGTTACAGCTGTTTTTTCTGTCTGTGTAGAATCCGAACGTGTTTGACCCAGAAATCGTCCTGAACCAGCTAAGATATTCAGGGATGCTGGAGACGGTGAAGATCCGTCGCGCTGGGTTCCCCGTTCGCAGGACGTTCAAAGACTTTTTCTCACGGCACGTCTCCCTATTGTCTTCACTCATCTAGTCTTTGTGAGGCTCTCTGCGGCCGTTGTTTCTATTTTTGTCTCGTGACATGTCTTATTTTGGTGCCAGGTATAAAATCATCATAAAAGATAAGGTGCCAGCAGCAGGGGATGACAAGAAAAGAAGCACTGACCTCTTAACTAAATATGATAAGACTAAGAAGGAGTGGCAGCTGGGAAAGACCAAGGCAAGTTGTCTGAAAAGATCCTGAGATTTTAAATGTCCGACTGGCCAGATAGGTGAAACCAGATATTTATGTAAACTGTATAAAAAGACATATTACCTTTTGATGATGTCTGTTCTGATTGGTTCATGCACAACATTTCACCAATACAGAGCCAAAACTTTTGATGTATTTTTTTTAAACGAAAACCAGAAATTCACTGCTTCTTGGTGGAACATCTTGCAAGAAATCAATACAAATTAGATTTTTGAAAATATCAGAATGAGGAATTGCTGGCCTCCACATGTACGGCTCACTCTTGGGTGCAATTTCCACACACTTGAAGTTGCCTGCAGTTGTTTAGTGTCAAATGCAACAACCTCATAAAGAAAATACGCTGAAGCTTAGAGTGTGTCAGTATCCCAGGTGAAACAAATCCTGCACCAACATGGTCAAGAAGACCAATCAGAGAGGAGGAACTCGAGAAGAAGAGGGTCAAAGAGGTTAATTTTCTGATGACACGTCATGTGATTTGAAAAATCCGAATTTGAACTGTCTGGCAATGTTGACCTCCATCACACATTGAGGAGAAATTGAAAAACTTACAAGCATGGCAACAAATCCCCACTGTGAAGTATATGGGATGACTGCATCAGGTTGCGTCGGTGTTTTTCTGCAAGAGGGACTGGTGCACCTCACAAAATAGATGAAAACATGTCCCAGGTTATACTGACAATCAGTATTTAGTATATCTCTACTGTCTTGCTCCTGTAGGTGTTCATGAAGGAGTCTTTGGAGCAGCGTTTGGAGAAAGACCGGGATGAAATCCGGCGTCAAGCTGCCATGATTATCCGAGCCCATCTACTCACGTTTTCTGCAAAGTAGGTGCCGTCCCAAATCGACGCCTCCAGGGATGACAGCGGCTCCGCTCTGATGTTTGTACTGGTTCAAAACGGGGTCTTTTTTTTTCCTTTACCCCCTGCTTTTCCTCACAGGAAGCATTTCAAACAGGTTCGCTCCAGCATCGTCGTTCTGCAGAAGCACCTGCGGAGGCACATCCAACGCAGACAGTTTGTCAAGAAGCGCAAGGCGGCGCTGGTGCTGCAGAAGCACAGGCGAGGGCAGGTGGCCCGCACCCGCGTCCGAAAACTCAACGAGGACAAGAAGAAGACGGAGGATGAGCAAAGGAAGAAGGAGGAGGAAGAGAAGAAGAAGACGGGTGGAGAGGAAAACGAAGAGGTTAATGAAGACGATAAGAAAGTGAGATCAACTGCGTTTTCAAGGGTTATTTGTTTTTGCCAGACAATTAGTATTATTTGACAAAAACAATATTGCACATGCTCCATACTCTTTCTGCTTCCATGCAGAGGAGGAGTGCATTAAATCTGAGTTTTGCATCCTAACTCAGATTTAGCTTTTTAAATGTTAACTATTGGACCCATGTAGAAAGTTGGATTAATGATGTGCCTTTATTATTAAAACGGTGACTTTTATTCAGGATTATGAGATAAAAGGAGGCTGAATGGATATTAATATCTTACTTTCTGGATTTGTAGTTGTAAAAAAAAAATTAAAACCATGAGTCGTTTTCCTTCCATTTAACTGTTACTACTTTCACATTTTGCTATTTTAATGTAGCCAATTGTAAAAAAAAAAAAGTGTTATAAATATCTTTGCAATGCACCTTTATCAGAAAAACCAGACACCAGCTGAAACACATCCAGCTATTGATGCTGCAGCTTATTATCCCTCAGTTTTAATTACAACATTTGTTTCTTTTTCCCTGAAGGATGAAGCTCGTCAAATGGAGGAGATCCTCCAGCTGGAGAGAGAGATCGAGCGCCTGCAGAAGAAGCGAGAGGACGAGGTGTCGCAGCTGTGCGAGTCGTCCAAACAGGAGCTGCAGTTGCGTCGGGATGCCGAGCTCAAGCGGATGAAGAAGGAGGCATCCCGGAAGGCAACGGAGCTCATCGACCTCCTGAACTTCGGCGGTGTGGATCCCTCTGTGGAAGCAGTCGGAGCCAAGCCTGTGGCGGCGGCCAAATCCGCGAAAGGGGCGAGCACAGCCGGAGGGGCCTCCAAAGAGGAGGACGTGGACGAAGGCTTCCATGCAGAGGAGGAATGCATCCCCCTGCCAGACTTCCCACCTCCCGCTGAGTCCGATGCTCCCATAGATCAGGACATATTTGTTCATCTGCCTCCTCCTCCACCTGCTTTTGCAGAGGGAACCGTGCCCCCCGTGGCTCCTCCACTTCCAGCGGACGGCGTCCCCGCCGCTGGAATACCTCCACCTCCTCCGCTCCCTCCACCTGGAGACGGGGCTCCCGTTCCTCCTCCTCCACCGCCTCTTCCTCCTCCGGCAGAGGGAGAGAAAACCGAGGAGACAAAAACAGACTCGGAGAGGAAAGTGAGCATGGAGGAGAGCCTGGTGGATGGAGAGGAGCCCATCTACAGCATGCCGGCCGATACAGAGTCGGACTACGACCAGGAAGACGAGGACGGGTCTGTCAATGCCGGGGACGACAGCTCGGTGTCCGGAAGCAACCGTGGGAGCGCGGCCGTGACGGACGAGGAGCACCCGAGGAAGTCCACCTGCACCAACACCAGCGTGGAGTCCTACAGAGGCAGCTCTGACTCTGTGAGGACACACACTTACTCGCTCCCTCACACGCGCGCACGCAGACATGTATGAGCAGCTATACAGCAAATCCTTTGTTTCTTGGTCACTCTTCTGACAAGCTGATTACGGAAGAGCATTGCCATCATGCAGGAAAAAAAAATTCAAGTGCTATCACGTTATAACGTGATACATATCTCGATAAAACATGATAGTTATTTTGTTATAACGTGATAATAGTCTTGTTATAATGTGATAGTTATCTTGTTATAATGTGATAGTTATCTTGTTATAACGTGATAATTATCTTGTTGTAACGTGATAGTTATCTTGTTATAATGTGATAGTTATCTTGTTATAACGTGATAGTTATCTTGTTATAATGTGATAGTTATCTTGTTATAATGTGATAGTTATCTTGTTATAACGTGATAGTTATCTTGTTATAATGTGATAGTTATCTTGTTATAATGTGATAGTTATCTTGTTATAACGTGATAATTATCTTGTTGTAACGTGATAGTTATCTTGTTATAACGTGATAGTTATCTTGTTATAACGTGATAGTTATCTTGTTATAATGTGATAGTTATCTTGTTATAATGTGATAGTTATCTTGTTATAACGTGATAATTATCTTGTTATAACATAACAATTATCTTGTTATAACGTGATAATTATCTTGTTGTAACGTGATAGTTATCTTGTTATAATGTGATAGTTATCTTGTTATAACGTGATAATTATCTTGTTGTAACGTGATAGTTATCTTGTTATAACGTGATAGTTATCTTGTTATAACATGATAATTATCTTGTTGTAACGTGATAGTTATCTTGTTATAACGTGATAGTTATCTTGTTATAATGTGATAGTTATCTTGTTATAATGTGATAGTTATCTTGTTATAACGTGATAATTATCTTGTTATAACATAACAATTATCTTGTTATAACGTGATAATTATCTTGTTGTAACGTGATAGTTATCTTGTTATAATGTGATAGTTATCTTGTTATAATGTGATAGTTATCTTGTTATAATGTGATAGTTATCTTAGTTATCTTGTTATAATGTGATAGTTATCTTGTTATAACATGATACATATATTGCTAAAATGTGATTTCTACCGGCGCAGAATAATCTAGTACAGATTTTAAGTGTCTATGTATGTTTGTTTTTAAAGTGATTTCTTAACACTTATGTCTTATGTTAAGCATAATTTCCTTCTGTGCCGTCCCATTTTGTTTAGGAAAACGTTTCAACAAGATGCGTATCACGTTAAAACATGATAACGGTTGATTTTTTTCCCCTTTGTGTGACAGCAATACGCTTCCGTAGCCGCTGATGCATTTGTTTAATGTTTCCAGGCAGCTGTAGGTAAGTGATGCATTTTTCTGTTTGATGTCGCAGTATGCAGACAGTGACGATGAACACGATGGCATGATGGACACTGATGAAGAGGTGACGAATGGACGCGTGACTTTGCTCAACGGAAATGGGCCACCATATTTCCATGGCTACCTCTACATGAAAGGTGTGTCTGTTTCACTGTACTACTTGCTTAGGTTTTAGAATTGCAGAAAAATGCAGAAACACAAACACTTTTCCCCACTTTTTATTTGATTCTTTTTACATTTTAGAGCGGCGCAGAAAGAGTCCTGACTTGAGGCTGATAGAAAATCAGCTAAAGATTAGGGTAATAGCAAAGAGGCCTTCCAACCTTAAAGACTTTCAGCTTCATCAGTAAATAATCAAAGTGTCAATGGACGTAAGCAAATGTGGTTATAAGAAGAATCTTAGTGTTGCAATGTCAAAGGTTTATAAATAATTTTGATCCACCAACCATTTTCTAATAAAAAGTCAAAAAATATACAGATAATATTGTTTTATTATGTTTAATAATCATTTTGACTTTGTAGATGAATACAAATAATTTAAAAACTAAGTCTGCCAAGTGTACATATTATCAATAAATAAAAACATATTATACAGGATTTTCTATTTACATTTTTTTTCTATGAAAATATCTATATTAAGTTTGGGACTATATTCAGCTGACATAAGCCCCACTCTTCTGTTTTTACTACTTCCTTCTGTGATGTCATCATCTCAGATAAACACAAACCAAAATCTGAAGGTTTTTTTTCCGTCTCAGAAATGTAGTATTTTGTTAAAGCCTGCATTGGACATGCATATTTCATTATTACCTGGCGTGGTTTTTATTGTCGATGTAAATTCGTTTGTGAAAAAAAACAGACCACCAAATATCACATTATATCAAAAACCTTCTCGTAAGTAAGGAAAAATTATTACACATGCATAAAAAAAATAAAATCCTTTTGTTAACTTACTGGGTCCTGAGGCCACTGTTTTCAGAATGTTTTTTTTGTTGTTGTTGCTGTGTTGATGTGCTCTCTGTGTTTCTTCAGCTGGTCTGATGATCCCGTGGAAGCGGCGGTGGTGTGTGTTAAAAGACGAGACGTTCATGTGGTTCCGGTCCAAGCAGGAATCCTTGAAGTCCGGGTGGCTCTACAAGAAGGGAGGAGGACTGTCCACTCTTTCCCGGAGGTTGTTGTAGTCACTACTGAGCTCAGCCTGCATGCTAACGACATAAAACCCTGCAACAGATGCTCACTGAAAGCACCCTGCGGTGCAATCCAACGGCCTCAAAAGTAAACGAGGTGGTTCTAATTGTTGTATTTTTCTTCCTAAGAAACTGGAAGATGCGCTGGTTCGTGCTGCGAGACAGCAAACTGATGTACTACGAGAATGACAGCGAGGAGAAGCTGAAGGGAACCATCGACATCAGGGCGGCCAAGTATAACCTTAAACTTCCAGATGAAAAAAAAAAAAAACCAACACATTTTATTCAAACGTTCAGCCTGTTGACGCCAACAGCTGACCTGCTTGTGATTCTGCAGGGAGATCGTGGACAATCATGAAAAAGAGAACGCTCTGAACATCGTGACAGACGAGAGGACGTACCAAGTGTTTGCTGAGTCGCCAGAAGATGCCAGGTGTGACGAAGAGCTTTGTGCAGGAAATGGGAACATGCTGGGTTTTTTTTTTTAACCTTGTAACGTGTAATTGAATTTTCTCTTTGCCTGCAAAGTGGATGGTTTAATGTGCTTAGCAAGGTGAGAGTGTGCACTCCTGAACAGCTGCTGGACATGTCCCACGAGCAGGCCAATCCTAAAAATGCTGTTGTAAGTCTTTATTTGAGTGAACTGATTAATCGATCATGTAAACTTTATTATGGTTATAGTGGTATTTACCACTTCCTGTTATCTTTTATCCAGGGAACTCTTGATGTAGGGCTCATCGACTCTGTTTGTGCATCAGACAACCCCGATCGGTAAGTCAAAGCAATCAAATATACAAAACCAGAATTTAATCTCAAACTGCATCAAAGATGTTCTGCATTTGTACAATATTTGCTATTTGCAGGCAAACAAAAATATGTCCCAAATTACACAAATTGGAACTTTGTTTTTTTTTTATTTTCTTCTTTTTTTACATGATAGAGAAAGCTGCCTAGACAGGAGCAGGTGTAGCGGGTTCCCTCTCATACAAAAGCATGGGATCACTTTCAATTTTACCTTCCGTGAATAAACATTAAAACATCTTCCAGAGGGTGAACATTTCTCTTATCAGTGCAATGGAGCATCAGCTCACAAGCAAAAGTGAGCCAAGAATCAAAACGTTGGAAGTTTGGAGAGAAACTCCAGATTAAAAATCTCATTGAGAGCTTGTGATCAATCTTTAAATGCAGTTTTTGAAAAACGGGAGAACCTTTGAGCCCCCACAAGACAGAAATCCAGAATACCAGGGAGAACAGCAGATGTAATGAAAAAGAAACACAGAATATTTATGTAAATCTGTATAATTTATACACATACATATGATATCTGAAAACATTAAGGTTGTGGAAATAGCTTCTGTCAAATTCAAAGGTGTTGTGATGATCGATATTTACCTTGAGATTGGCTGGGAAAGCCAATAAGTAACGTGTGCGGTCTCTTCAGCTCCTACTGAAATGTGTTGCAGGAATAAGACAAACTCTCAAAAAGGAAGAACAAAAACTTTATGGATGAAAGACTAATCTGGCCCAATATGACCTCATTCCACTCACTTTTTGCAGCCCAAATTCGTTTGTCATCATTACGGCAAACCGGGTGATCCACTGCAACAGTGACACACCCGAGGAGATGCATCACTGGATCAGTCTGCTGCAGAAACCCAAGGGAGATGCCAGGATAGATGGACAGGAGTTCCTTGTCAGAGGTAAGTGTTTCAGAAAACCCAAAAATATTTGCAATCTTTAAGTGCAGTCCACCTTTATTGGCGCTACTGGCAGGGTTTTGGGAAAAGGCTTTAAAATAAAGACATCTTTCATTACTGCAACATAAAATAGAACATTTAGAAAGATCCAACCTTTGAGTTGAGTACATTACATTTGCAGGAAAGAAATGACTGTTTTTACAAATTTTACAACTGAGAGAACACTTCTTCTGTAACATTTCTCAAAGTCAGAGCATGTGGCGTGAGGGACCTTTGAGGTTACATCTTGTCCTCCCCTTTCGTCCCCTTCAGGTTGGCTCCACAAGGAGATGAAGACGAACGCTAAGAGCACGTCCCTGAAGCTGAAGAAACGGTGGTTTGTTTTGACCCACAACTCTCTGGATTACTACAAGAGCGCAGAGAAAAACTCATCCAAGATGGGGACTCTGGTCCTCAACTCGCTCTGCTCCGTCATCCAGCCGGATGAGCGGGTCCACAGGGAGACTGGTGAGGAACGGGAAACGAAGGGAAGCTGCCGAAAGCTTCAGGAGTCAAACAGAGGCGGTCCAGGATACATGCAAGGCTTCTGCTTCTGAAAACGGTTTGAATTCATAAATAGCAACTGAACTGTGTCTTTACAGGCTACTGGAACATCATCGTGTACGGAAGAAAGCATTGCTATCGCCTATATACCAAAATGCTGAACGAGGCCATGAGATGGACGGCTGCAATCCTGGGAGTGATCGAAAGCAAAACTCCCATCGAAACCCCGACTCTGCAGCTCATCAGAGATATCAAAGTAAAACCAAGTCACGATAGGAGTGCACACTCAAATCTATGAGTTGATATCTGCATTTAAGTTGAGAGTTTGTTATTCATTTCCTCAGGAGAACAGCGTGAATTCAGAAATAGTGGAGCAGATGTACAGGAGGAACCCGATCCTGAGATACACACAGCATCCGCTGCACTCGCCTCTGCTGCCGCTGCCTTACGGAGAGGTCACCAGCTGTGAGTGACTCCATTTAAAAGACGCTTTTCTTTTAAACCTTTACGCATGTTAATCTTTAGTCTTTTTTTACTGTTTTGCTCTTATTTTGTTTTGTCCCACGTAAATCTTTCTGTGTGCAGTACATCGGCAGCAGGGCTACGCTAGCCTGCAGGACGAGGCGGTGAGAGTTTTCAATTCGCTGCAGGAGATGGAGACGCTGGCAGACACGGTGCCCATCATTCAGGGCATCCTGCAGACCTGCCAGGATCTGCGCCCTCTCAGGGATGAGGTACGTTTTTATTTCCGTCATAAGTTAATATGTGTCTTTGTCAAAATTTTAAAAAATACAGTAAACAGAGTTTTGGATTCTACTTCTTCTTCTTTTTTAAAATTTTATTTACATTCTCTTATGTTAAAGCCACAAACATCAACGTGATTTTGGGGGATTTTATGTGACAGACACTAAGGAGCAAAGATTGTGAAGTTGGAGGAAAATAATCAGTGGTTTTCAAATCATTTGTCAAATGAAAATCAGAACATTTTTATTATAGAACTATGCTTCGTTGCTGCTTCAGCTGCAACTCTTTGGTGGTATCTCACTACCAGCTTGAGACATTTAACAACTTCAAAATTTCCCCATGCATTTCCCTCAGCCTGAGTCAAATTTGAGACGGTGAACTTCTCCAGCATCCTCCAACAGGTTTTGTTTCTGGACTGCCCCTTATTATGTCCATCCAGCTTCCCGTCAACTTTAATCAGTTTAAGAGTGTAAATACTTTGCTCGGACAATGTGTGGCCATATGGTAAATATGAGTATTTCTTTAGTAAATTCTCTTATTTTTTTCTTCTTCTTTTAGGTTTATTGTCAGGTGATCAAGCAGACCAATCATGTGCCTCAACCAAACAGCCCAGCCAATCTGGCACACTGGCACCTGCTCACCTGCATGAGCTGCACCTTCTTGCCCAGTCGAGCCATCCTCAGATACCTCCGCTTCCACCTTAAAAGGTAACAGGAACTCTTTGCCTCTGATTACTGAAACCTCTTTATACGGAAACGAAAACATATGTTTGTGGCTCAGGGTGCGGGAGCGTTATCCCGGCACCGAGATCGAGCGCTATGCCAGCTTCATCGGAGAATCGCTGAAGAAGACCAAGACTCGTGAGTTTGTTCCCTCTCAGGAGGAGATCGCCGCCCTGCTGCTCAGGCAGGAGATGAGCACCACTGTGTACTGCCACGGAGGAGGCTCCTGCAAGATCTCCATTAACTCGCACACCACAGCTGGAGAGGTGGGTAACAGATGTGTAGCATACTGAACGTTTCATTGCATCAACAGAGCTAAAAGAATGGATCAATTTTACCTCTTCAATTTTTTTTAATGATAGTATGGCATTGAAATTATTTTTAAAGATCTCCTTCTTCCGTAGTACCGATTTCAATAATCTTACAAGGACACAATACCATGTTAATGAGGTCAGGTTCTATCAAATAGACAAGAAATAAGTCAGGATTCTGCAAGGAAAAGCTTTAAAGTGATTTATTTTTGGGTAGATTTCTGCATCTCCTCAATGTAAATAAAACCCTACAAACATTATATTTCTGCTGGTGCAGGTTGTTGAGAAGCTCATCAGAGGTCTGGCCATGGAGGACAGTAAGAACCTGTTTTCTCTATTCGAACACAACACTTTCACAGACAGAGCGCTGGAGAGCAGAGTGATTGTGGCGGACGTTCTGGCCAAGTTTGAGAGGTGAGTCAGTCTCCTCAAACATCACAGTGCAACCAGAGCCCTTTTAGGATTCTGGATTGATTTTGCGCGATGAGCCAATGTTTCTATTTGTGTGTTTGTGTTCAGACTGGCAGGCAGTGAAGAGGATGAGGAAGAGGGAGAGTGGAAGCTGTACTTCAAGCTGTACTGCTTCCTGGATGTAGAGAGCATGCCCAAGGAGGGAGTGGAGTTTGCATTCATGTTTGAACAGGTGTGATTTCATCTGAAATGACGCAAATAACTAAAGACATTCTGTTTGTTGTGAAGAACAACTACGCCTGGCAAAAGCAGTAACTCCTCAAGCCTTTTTTTACACTTTCACAATCCGCTCTGACAAACTTCCCTGACACTATTAAGGAAGCATTCCCACAGCATGATCCTGCCACCACCACATTTCTTAGCTGCAGGTTGTGATATTTGTTTTCCGGGCCACAGAGTTCTCTTCTATGCATAGGTCAGGTTGTAAAATTTTGATCTTATGCGAAGTTCTGCAAGACGCTGTGGGTATTTTATTCCTTCTGGTACAAATCATTGACTTCTTTAGCATTTCAAAAATCTACGCACAACTCAACAGAAATGTTAATTGGACGAGTTCAGATGGTGCCTCAGCAGCGCAAAGATTAAAGAAAGATCAAAGAAATCAGTTTAGTGGATACGCAAATTGTTAAAGTGTTTTAGTAAATCAGGAGGCTTTTCCTTTCATCCTGAAATATCCGCCGTAACCTAAATGACGTCTACTAGGCATTACATGGGTTGTATTAACGTGTGTTAATGTAGTTTGATATTTTACACAGTGAAAAACAGCCTGTTGGAAAAAAGACTAAAGATTGGTTTAAATTTAGGAGATTATTGGGAAATAATCCTGTTATTTTCTTCCAGGCACATGAATCTTTAATTAGCGGCCACTTTCCTGCCTCGGAGGAGACTTTGCAGCACCTGGCGGCTTTACGTCTCCAGTATCTCCATGGCGATGGGGCGGGTCGGGCTGGATGGAGCCTGGGAAGCGTCTATCCGATCGGACGCCTTCGGAATCGCATTTTGCAGTCCACCAAACCGGGCGTGGGAGCGGCAGGCGGAGCCGGGTCGAGAGGCAGCGGAGGAATCGGAGACGTGATTGGGACCATCGGAGGACAGGGCGGGACCGGGGCCAGCACGGAGAAACGCAAGACTCCCACCTTCAGGGATTCCTCCCTTAGGAAAAGCAAAACGGGTTCACTGAAGAAGCAGAAGGTACGCCTCCGTAATCCTTAATCTGCGTTAACAACAATGGAGGGAAAAAAGGCAAAAGTGTTAATTGTACGAACCCAGGTTTATCTGACTGACAGTTTGTTTGCTGACTGTTTGACAGAGATGATGTTTCAGGTGGAAGGGGAGCAGAGGCTGGAGATGTGGGTGAAAGAGGAGACATCTGCGACGCGCACCAGCATCCTGGAGAAGTGGGCCCGTCTGCAGGGCATGCCACAGCACCAGGCCATGCTCAAGTACATGAGCATCATCAAGGAGTGGCCCGGATATGGCTCCACTCTCTTCGACGTGGAGGTGAGAAATAACAAGGACGATGGATGTCATGGTCAGGATAGTGATATTAAAAAAAATTCAACAAAATGTCTTCTCTTGGCAGTGTAAAGAAGGCGGGTTCCCTCATGACCTGTGGCTGGGTGTGAGCGCAGACAATGTTTCAGTGTATAAGCGAGGTGAACCGAAACCACTGGAGACGTTCCAGTATGAGCACATAACCTTCTTTGGAGCTTCACAGCCCTGCACCTACAAGATCATCGTGGATGAGAGGGAGATGTACTTCGAGACTCCACAGGTGAGACGTCACTGAGTTTCACTCAGACAGGACAGGTAGAAAATCAATGTTGGGTTATTTAAGTAAACTGTAAAACCTTCTTCTGCTGTACAAAGTAACCTGTTAGAAACATTGAGAACCCCCCCCAGAAATGTTTACAATAATTCAGATAGACAAAAATGACCCAGCTTGTTAGCCATGTTTAGTATATTGAATGGAGTAAGTCAATTACACACAGCATGCTAGTAGTGGTCCACATGCTACTGGCATTATTCACGCAAAAATTAACATGTTTGTAAAATTGGCATAATATTACTAACATGGTTCAAATTCATGTTACTCACATTCTTTTTTTTTTTTTGCTAAGCTTAGCATTGATGCTAATTTTCAGAATGCTGGGTCCAAACCGACGGTCACACTTTGGCAGGACCTGGTTAAATTTCTTCAGGAATTTTCTAGTTTTGCTGTATGCTGCCCCTTATGCTGCGTTGCCCTGGCAGAACGCCACGTAGCTCATATCCAAAACCGCTGTTGTCTGTAGGACGATCTCATGGTCCAACTTGTGCTTTCCCTCTGCAGGTTGGAGAGATCACCAAGATCATGAAGGCGTACATCAACATGATGGTGAAGAAGCGTTGCAGCATCATGTCCGTGACCAGCGTGGCCAGTTCCTGGGCCAGGTGATCACCACGCCACTCCTCGGTTTGTCCATCCATCCATCCAGCAGCAGCGGGCTCCCTCTATTGGCCTCCTTTTAGTGTTTGGGTATAGACGAAGGCAGTTGCAGGAGCCAGCTAATCCAACAGGCTGAGACATGGAAAATGAAGCCTGAGTCCTACTTGAGATTAAAACGAGCATGGCAGACAAAATAACCAGTGGTTTTGGACTTTCACCTAAAGCATACACCAACCCCAGCTGTAATAATGCATGTAGATGTTCAAGCACATCACACACTGCTCTGTTGTTCCCTTTTCAGGCAAAAAAAGAAAACGAACAATAACAAGCACAAATTAGCCACCCAGTTTTCTCTGCGCACTGCCAGACAAGACGTAAACCACACCCATTCTTTCTTTGACCCTCATTCCTCCGATTTTTAATCTCTCTCTCTTTCTCTTTATGTTTCTTTATTCTTATGGCATCTTTTTTCTGTTGCCATTAAGTTCTACGGTTTTACTCTTCTTCTTCTTCTTCTTGCTTGCTTTTTTGGTGTCGTTTCCAGTCGTTTATCTTTAACGTCAGCAGTGTTACCAGTGAGTGAAAGAACCGAAAAAAATGAATATTCTTCTGGGCGTCCCACGCCTCCCTGTCCCACATTGTGTCCTCGCGCTGCTCACTCGTTACTGCCACCATGTGGCCACGAGGAAAACGCAGCAACAGGAAGTGTTTGTGAGTGTCATGAAAAGATTCAAGGTGGTTCTGTGGAAGCTCACCTGACGTTAGGAGTCAGTGCAGAGTTTATGTACATTTGCCTCCGCAAAAAGACTTATGTGAAGATATAACACAGCCTGCATAGACCTGTATAGTCACAACTATGTACACATAAATGAAACAAATGTATCATTTTGTATGGATCACAGACTTACTGCAAGGTGGATTTGATTTTCCTTTTGGTGGCTACTGTACTGTAAAGCCTAGTGATGCCATGCCTAACACAATGTGATGCCTGTCATGTAAAATACATGCAGAAAAATTATCGTTAAGAATGACCACTGTATGTCTGTGGACTATGATGCCTGTGATGTGCACCATTCACTGGCTGTGACTTACTGAAAAGTAAAAATGAGCAGAAGCGCGGGCCATGCTGCGTCTGGCTGCTATCCAGGTTCATGTCTTCGGTCCAGGTTCATGTCTTCGGTTATTGACAAGTCTACCGTTGTCGTCGTTTGCAGGAGTCACTCTCCCACTTTACCTCGAGCCATAAAACACGTTTTCTTTCTTTTTGTCCTTAATCGAGGAGCTCAGGATACTTGCATCAATAAGTGAGTAAATTAGAATACAGCCAAAAGGATTCTGGTTTTGCTGTCGTGCTTTGCAGCTTAGAAAAACTCAACATGTTCAGTTTCTCGCTTGCTTGCCTCTTTTCCTTCCACTCAACTCTTCGTTAATATGAAGTGGAAAGCATTTTGTGAAGAGCCAGCTTCTTTAGCAATGCTCCTGCATGACTTACCACAAAATGAACCATGACAATATAAGTCATCATCACATCACATTCCTCTGTTGAAATTGGTTTTTACTGATCTTATGTAATGTTCAAATTACTGGACAAACTGAATTTTAAGCCGTCACAATTTCCACTTGAAATATATCCTTGTGTGATAAATTTCTATACATGATTTCCACTAATTGAATTTAATTAATCGACTAACTTATCTTTTTGCTGACATTCTAATTTATTAAAAATGCAAGTGTGCAAGCTCCAATTACTGTTTCCACTCTGAACATTTCAACTTGACACTTTATTGTCAATATAATATTATTATTATTGTATAAGCCCTCTATATTATCTGTCCTTAAATGTGATATCTGGATTGCTGCTGTGTGGGTGAGTGTTAAAGCAGACTGCTGTGAAACAGAAAAGAGAAAAGAGAAGGTGTTGTAATGAGTGTATTCTTCAAAAATAAGATGTATTTATATGACCACTTTTTTCGCAAGGAATGGTGTTGTAATTGTGAGTTTACATAAGGGGGGAAAAAAAGCATGGGATCATAATGGGAAGGTATGGAGCTTATTTATTACTTTATGTATTGTATGTATTTCAATGTCTGTTTGGAGGGAACTGAACACATCCTGAGTCTTTAGAATATTACCAGTAAGAGGTACCAGTATTGGTTTCTGGTTTCCAGGGAGGATTTATAATCACCAGTTTTACGTGACTTTTGATTGGCTTTGGAGTTGACATAAGGAAGGGCTTGCCTAGGAAGCTATTCATGCAAAAGCCTCCACGGAGCGCAGCAGGTGAGCCGAACATGTTGCACACAGGCTTTTGGTTCTACGAAGTTGTGGAACGGGTGTGTTAAGTGAACTGCAGCTAGGTGGCAGCATCGCCGACTTCTATGACCTCCAGAGAGAGAAAACAAAGACATTTTTCTATCGCTAAAACATGGTGCAACTGTTTGGTGCGTTTTCTTTAAAACATATTTTACCCGACGTTCAAGGGCAATAAGAATCTTGACTCCAAATGCATTTAATTTTTGGGCTTTTCACACAAGCTGCTGGCAGATTAGAAGATGAAGAAATTTGATATATTTGGATATATTACACTTTCTTAAGTGTAACAATGACCAGTGCTGTTACAAAGATGGAAAACAGTAACAGGAAATTTAAGACTTCTCATCATACCCAGATAGAAAACCACTAAAATGCTTTTTTTCTGTGTTGTTGACTAATGCAATCAACACTAAAATAGGCAGTTTTAAATGTGGCATTAAATTACCTGGGGAAAAAAACTCAAATAACCAATAATAATAATAATAATCAGAATCAGAATCTTCTCACTAGTTTCAAGTGACTCAGGCTCAAATATTCTCAAAAGTGTGATCATTTAATTTCAAAAACCATCATTACAGAGCGACCTGGAGGGGGATCTGTGTGAGAAATTCACCCTGCAGCTTCTGAAATGAGATCAGCTTGTAGACAAAAAAAAAAAAATGGAATTTGAAATTAAAAGTTGACAGTATCTGATCACAAATCTATCTTCAAGGGCAACTTCATCAAGGGCTCCTGTTATCAGCCGCAGGCGGCCAGAGCTGAGCCCGTCATCCTGTTCCGCCTGTTATCATCATTACATAGTGAATCGTTGTGCTTGTTGGGGGGAAAAAATGAGGAAGAGAGAGATGTGTGTGTTGTTTCTTTCTTTTCTTTTTTTTTTATTTGTAAATGGCTTTACAAAATTATGCTTTAATAAATTATTGGAAACTGTACGATTTGTTAATGTCTCATTTGTGGACTTTGCAAACGAGAAAAAGAGGAAGAAGTTTCCCATTTTTTTCACACTGCAGATTAAACAAACCCGATGTGACATGTTGAGCACAACATCTCACGCTGTGACCTCGCCTGATTAGACTTGAAGGAACGTGTCCTTGTTTAATTACATTTTCATTTCCTGTATAATGCAATACAAAATAGTCATATATATTAACTTCTGACAAATAATAATCACAAATCTGATGTGATTGGGATCCTAAGAGAGACCAGCAGAGTTGTTCATTATAGAGAAGAAGAAGAAAATAGTACATGTTTTTTTTTTTTTTTTTTTTTTGCTCTTTTTACATTACAAACCTAAAACTGTAGCATCCATTTGTACAACAAAATTGCTCTTTGTTGCTTCAAACATTTTGGAGTTTGTCTCCATCAATTTTCAAGGTGACAAACTAAAATGTCTGCTGTTCTTCTTTACAAAATGACTAAAACTAAGCTGTGAGGTCAGATGTCGTGTTTGTTTCAACAGTTTTATTTTAAGTCTTGCCACACATACGCGATTGGATTTGCCATGGGTCTTGACTTTGACTGGACCATTCTAAAACGTGCTCTGATCTGAACCATCTCATTGCACGTCTGCCCATAATAATGGTAATTTCAGCCTTTCCTTAGTTTAATTTTGTTTTTACAAGTTTTCTGGATTTACCTGCATTAAGCTTCAACCATCATCTCATCAGGTCTTAAAGGCTGGCTTTTCCTGGCTGAGGAAAAGCATCTGCAGCATGATGAGATGCTGACACCACCATACCCTGAAAAGTTCAATTTTGGTTCATTCACATTTGCTGTACTTCAAACATGGCTTGAGACAAGTTGGACAATTTTCTTAAAAATGGCTTTCTTCTTGCACTTCTTCATCAAGTCCAGTGAGACACAGCTTTTGAGTCAAATTTTGCAAGTCAAATGATTTGTGTAGCATTGAACAGCAGGACAAAAAAAAAAAAAAAAATCAAAACAACCAACAAGCAAAACAAGAAAACAAACATAAGAGTGGTAATCTAAAAATAATGAGTAAAAAGTTTTAATTCTGACTAGAACTAATCTATGTTCACTTATTTTTAATCAGTGGCAACATCAATGAGATTCTATCCATGATTTAAAGTAACTCCATGTTTCAGCAGCTTTGCAGTTCTCCGGAAGTTGATTCTAGGTTAGTGGAGCGTAAGCTTGTGCTGTGCTCCTTGGTCTTCATGGTGTTTGCTCACTACGGTTCTCTGGCAAATCTCTAAGGCATTGAGATTTGCTTTCATGCTGAGAGTGAAATACTCTGAGGTGGAGTGAGCATTTCACCCATTCACCCATCTGTGAACGGCTGAAGACAACAGCACTGGGTTTTATTTAGAGGGATCAAAGTTAAAGGGGATGAATGAAAATGCAGACGGAACTGTTATGTTCTTTAATTGTTAAAAAATATATATCTTCATCACTTCCCTTGATAATTACGCTCTAATTTATTTATTTATTTTGGTGTTTCAGAGAAATGCAGTATTATTGTTAATATGTTAGTCATGCTTATTATTATTATTATTATTATTATTATTATTATTATTATTATTATTTATAGATATACTCTGAACATGCAAAACCTTGAATGTGTTTCGAAACCAACACTCCACCTTCCCTTCCTTTTGTCTGCGCTGCGTCACGGCGGTGCGTCAGTCTGTGCTGTTGCTTTTCTTTCTCGGTAACTTCGCCTTTCGAGTTCCTCCTGTCTACCTGGAGCTGCCGAGACGCTTCCTGAGCTCCCACGAGTCTGACGTCCTTTAAGATATAAAGAAGAGGAAGAAGAAGAAGAGGAAGAAACGCGCGGACCACCTGCGTCGTCGAAGCGTTTGGATGATGAAGTGTTTGCGGATGTTCCTCTCTGCTCTCCTTTTTGTCTCTGGTTTGGCGACAGTTCTGGCCGAGTCCGCGCCTGAACACGGTAGGGACCGAGACCAACCTGTGTGTGTTGATTTAAAAAAAAAAAAAAAAAAAAAAAAAAGAACCTACCATAGATTCACACGCGTTAGTCCATTTTATTATATAAATTTATTACTTAAAGTCTTTATTGAAACTCTCCCTCGAGTTGATATTTGCTCAGTAATTTTGTTTTTAGATGACTTTTTACTCTTTTTTTCAGTTTTGGTCAAGTAAACGCTACGGAACAAAACTAAGGAAAAAGAAAAATCTAAGTTGAATCTCTTTTGTTTACTTTGACATAAACAAACAGTGATTTAGTTTTTATCTCTCTCTCTCTCTTTCTATTAGCAGTAAATAATTCCAGTTTCTATCAGCCCCCTGGTTACATGTATGTCTCAGTAAAGAGACTGGCTGTGGCGCAGAGGCCTTTAAAACCTGGGTTTTTACTGATGCGTGACTGCACAAAGCCTGCCTGTTTACTCTGAAGTCTCCATAGAAAATGTCCCAGGACGATTAGCAGTAAAAACGGCCCTGAGAAAACTGACAGGCCTCATTTATTCCCCCTCAAGACTTTGCAGCTAATCAGTGTAACATCAGGGCCGGATGGGTGTCCACACTATGCATCACAAACAAATCCTGGTTGTGGTTGTTTTTTCTCACAAATTAAACTATGTGTATATATTGTTTTCTTTCTCAACAGTGTGCGAGACAAAAAATGGGACAAGCTGCGAGGAATGTCTGAAAAATGTGACGGTGAGTCCAGATTTCAGCTCAGATAATCTCACACTTGCTCTGCACGGTGTTTGTACACGGCTGAGCGATGAAGGCGCCCGTTGGCTCGTCTTCCGTCTTCAAACCTGTTGGACCAGTTTGAGGAGTAACTGACCCGTTCCCGGTCCGCCCCTCCCACTCTCTGTGTGTGTTTGTCATGTAGCGCAACATGCAACTGACCTGAATAGGTTCAGATTTGCCGCTTTGTTTAAGCAAAGGGATCTCTCTTTATTCCGTGTGTGTTTTTGCAGTGCCTGTGGTGCATCAAGACAAAGTCATGTGTAACGTATCCGGCGCAGACCATCCTTCCACCCCATTCACTCTGCCCGCTAGATGACGCCCGCTGGGGGCTCTGCTGGAGTAAGACACACACACAGATTATGTTTCCATAACTGGTTCATTTTTGTGCAAAGAATTCATTTAAATTAAGGAACTGATCTGCAGTTTCAATACTGGTTCAGTTTGGTGAATCAAAAGTGGTAAAGAATACTTCTACCGTTTTCTCTATAAAGTCTGCACTGATGGATTGTACAAAATTGCTCTTCTCGCATTAATTACTGTTTTATGTTTGATTGCTCATACTATAACTACTCTTGTTGCAATAAGAAATGAATCATTTAGTCGCATCATAAATTAAAATGTGCTTGATAATTCCCATTCTGCTGATTCATATTGGTTTGATTATGAAGTTTAGAGAAACTTCATAATCTATGTTATTTATGGTTTTGACTGAGTGTAATTTTTATTTTCCTTTTGACTTATTGTTGGATGTCGTGTTTTATTTTGGATATTCAAAATGTCTTCCAGTTCCTGTGTCGAGTGTTGTCTGCAAAAGTAAAATTTATCTTTTTTTTTCGAGGGTAAACTCCCATTATCAACAAAATCATCTCAGCACGATGTCAAAATAACAATATTATTATTCATCCAGTAAAATCTGTTATTGTGACAGGACTAAATATAGCATGTATTTATCAAAAACTAATTCTAATTTGATTGTCTTATTTGTCATAGGCCATTCATTGGTATCAAAGAATGCCAACGTTGTGAAAAGGTAGAGTTTAAAAATGATTACAGTTTTCCATAATATCATTTCTACAGTTTAAAGAAGATTGAAAAAGTGTTGCACTAACTTATGTTTTTTCTGTTTTTATGAACCGTAGACAGTTTTGTGTAACTTTGCCTCCCAAAGTACTAGTTCTGTTCACACTTAAAATGTAATAACCATCATAGTTCAGCACCTAAATAATCTGGGAGGTTGGCCTATTTCACTTTTAATCTAGTCTGTTGTTTCTAAAATAAAAACAAAAAGCATAACTGGCTAATCTGGATCAGTTAGTCAATTATAGGATAACCTTTTTTCTCCTTTTTTTTAAATTATTTTTTAGAAACAACAGATACAGTATAACCAGATTAAAAGTGAGCACATTCTCAATACTTATTAAAAACCATGTAAACCATCCTGACATGTGACAGTATCCACATGAGGAACAGTTAAGGGAAAAAACATTAGACATACAATGTTACAGACTATTAGAAATCAAAATATGGAATCTGATGGATTTGCCCCCCCACCTCCTTCAAATCAGACAGAATTGGTGTCAAACGTTTATGCTACGTTTGTGCAGGTTTGTGCAGCAAACATTTTCATGTGAACTGCTTTGGCTTTGAAGATATTAATGAAATATTAATATCTTAACATTTCATTAATATCTGGTTGACCTTTGATGATCTCTTGAAACATTTCTTAATATCTTTAAAACAATAGCAGCACAAACAAAAATTTTTGCTGCACAAACAGAGTCGAGTTGATTGACACCTATTTTGTCTGACGTAGCACAAAATGACATTTTTTTGTCTGATTTGAAGAAGGTGGAGGGGCCAACTGCACTCAGGTGAACAACCTTGGCTTCAGAACACCTAGTTTTACATTTTGGGAATAAGTATCTGACCAAATGGGAGAGGTCTGAACTCGCAGTGGAGAGGATGATGAGGATGATGGGTCTTTTAATATCCAGACTTCTTTAGCTGCCTAAAATGCTCGGACTCTGGATTTAATTGCATCTAATGCATCAACTTACTGAGCCGTTTTACTGTTTGGTTCGCTGAACTAGGACACTGAGCAGAAAGATAAATTCAATATGAAAAGCAAGGCGGTGTTCTGCACTGGTTTCCTTTTTATAGACAACCTAACCGTTCACCTCAAAGATCAAAAGGTTTACAGTCAATAATTTTTCAGACATTTATCAGGATAGACAACTTCCTCAGTCTCTTTTTTTTTTAAGTTGTTTTGTGTCCCTGAAAATGCTTTATAAAGTCAATGTCCTTGGTTTTTGAGATATTTTGCAAATCGGATTCATCACACCATTGGACAGATTTCTATTTTATTACACAGGCTAACAATCCTTAAAAAATCTTGAAATCCAGTCCACAAATATTTGAACCTGTAAGCTGACATACTAAAATGTGAGGTTGGATGGTTTTAAAATAAGAAGAATTAATATGCATCAATTGATACGCATCAATCAGCATTTCCCAATGCTGATTTCCACAATGATTTATCTACCCTATTTTCTAAAGAAATAATTTTTCTCAAGTCTGTCTTTGAAATAATTTATTGTACCCCTGGAGTAAAGCTGTCTTTGTTGCTATGACTGACGCTTTAAGACAGTCGTTGAAGTATTTACGGAGCCGTCTTGTGGAAAAACCCCGTCACAAATCCAGATAAGAGCACAATGAGGTGGGTTTTCCTCAACAGGATGAAAGATGAGTCAGATTTCACATAGAAACATAATATTCAAGGATTTGGTCATACAAGTTTTAATTACACTCTTGTTTGACGCTCCTTGGCTATGAGATGATTTTTTTATCTGCTACTTTTTTTAACTTGTAAGATGATCTGAAACTTTTAAGTGAGACAGGATAAAAAAGCAGAATAAAGAAATCTGTAAAGGGGCAAATGCATTTTCCCAGCAATGAAAGCAGACTGCCGAAGTTGCACTGGGAACTGACAGTCTGTTGGTTAGCATTTCACACACACAAAAAGAATTGCATATAACCCTGGTGTTTTGCTTATTTTTTGAGAGAAAACGTTGGTGATGTTGAAGGATCACGTTTTCTATGTTCCTTAAATCGTCTCGTCAATCAGAGGTCTCTCCAAGATTTAATTGAATTGATACATACTAAATCCAGATTAGTAGTTCCCAAATCTGCTGTCATCATTCCAACATGTTTTATCTTTTTTTTTTTTTAAAGATGAAACAAAGTGGTGTAATAAAGATGACTTTGTCCTTTATCTGGTGAGACTCTTCCTCTACAGGGGAATAAGTTTGCAGATCCTTTTATGTTTTCTTTCCATAAAAGTACATTTTTAAATTATGTGCTTTGGGAAAAATGGAAAGGCTAGGTATGAATTATCTCCAGAACTTTCAATATTTTATATGCAAGTATTGACGGCAAGTAAACAAGAAGACACAAACAGCATCAGCATTTGCATGAACTGTTTCATCTGCTGTAACATAAACATCCATTCAAAATGATGAATTTAGTTTGATTTCTGAGAGAGAGAGATTTGTTCTCCACATTGGTTGATTCCTGATTGGATCCAATTGTTTCATTTGACCAAAATAATGCTTTTTTTAAAAATATAAGACATCTTTTCAGTGTGAAGCTTTGTAACGGATTCATTCTTTCTGCAGTGAATTTCCAGACGCTGATAATCACCTTGTCTGTGCTTGGAGCAGTTCTCATCATTGCTCTCATGCTCTGCATGTTCTGCTGCTGCAAGTGTGAGAACTTTGGGTAAGTGTGCAGTTTGACTCTGAGTGAAATAAAAGTGAATTAGAAGGGGTACTGTATAAAGTTGCATGTCGGGTTTTGTGGAGGTTTTGTTTCAGATCCCATTCGACTCTCATTGTTTCTGCTTCCACATGTGGTTTATTTGTGTCGGAAACGATGCGGTTTTTTGCATGGCCTCGATGATGTTCTTGTCCAACACTGATCTTGTTTTTGTGTGTCAGATCCAAACGATTTGAGGCCAAGATGCAGAGGCAGGCCAATAAGATGCAAACCAAACAGGAAGAAAGGTGAGGAACTGCAAATGAAGTTCAATGGCTGAGGAAAGTCGAGTTTCTGGAAGCTCACAGTGGAGCAGCTTGAAGTTAGGAGCTGCAGTTTTTTTTTGTTTTGTTTTGTTTTTTAAGCATTAGGAGGCTCGTCCTTCTTGGAGCTTTCGCAGTGAGATTTAAAATAATGACCCACTTGTCCCCGACAGATGTCTGAATCGATGTTGAAACATCTTCAAGAAAAACGTAGTGAAAGTCCCGTAAGCTTTTTGTAGAAATTGTGACTGGGATTATTGAGAATATACAAATATTCTCCACAGATTCTGTATTGGTTTGAATAATTTTCACAGTAATATAATCTATTTTGCAATTGATGCTACTCATTTCAGTGAGTTTTATTACAGGCATCAGAGTAAAGTGGGATGACTACAAATGCATCCCATATGCCAAAGTGTTATTAATAATGTTAAACTCATTTGTTTGTCCTTCATGCATAAAAGATTCAATTTTATCCACTGCTTTGTGTATGACATAAAACCCCAATTAAGCACAAAAATAGTCATTTTACAATAATAATAAAAACTGAAAGTATCAACTGTCCTCTGAAGTTATTATGAATGTACAGAGCAAAAATTGTTTTTTTAATATATATTTTTTTCAAATATATATTCTACTTCTGAGGCTATATTTGTATGTTCTCCAAAATATTTGAGCCCTAGTTTACTAGGGCTTAAAAAAAATTTATGATTTCTGTGTTAATAAAAAAAATTTTGCATCACCAGCTGCATGTTGTTGGTTGGCCAGTCATTATCAGTGTCAGGTTTCCTGCACAGCCCAGTGCAGATGAGGCAATAAAATGCAAATGCTACGCCTTTTTGAGCCCAAACAGGTTTTATGCTCACGTGACTTCTGGACAGGCTCAGGAATGACATGAATTCCTTTGTGACTCATGGAGAAATGTTCTGTCTTTACAGGAGAGCAGAAATGAACAAGAGACACCAGGAGATCAGGCAGAAATATGGTGAGCTTTTCTGACAAATACCTTGGTCTTAGTTTAATCAGGGCTTTCCGATCAAACACAACCTTCCTGTTAAAACATTTTGTCAAAAGCGCAAAACTGGAGCGAAGTTGCTGGAACAGAAACAGGCCCATGGCGTCTCAAGACCTCCACCCTACTAACATTAAACATGATGTAGTTTTCCACATATTTTTTATTTATTTCATGCCAAATCCACCCGGAGCTTTGTTGCAAAGCTCAACTTGAGTCTGACTGAAAAACATGTCTCTCGTTGACAGCTCAAAAGGGTTTAACAAACTCCAGACGTTTACGTTTGAGATGGTAGGACAGCGTAAACGTTTCTTTTTTGTTTCCGTAAAAGCCACTTTATATGTCGCTAGATTGTAATGTGGGAAAGGAAGAAATTTTAAGATAATTTATTATGCTGATGATTTTTATAGAAATTGGTATTTTTACAAACAACATTCACATTCAGAAATCTTTTATTAAATGTTGTTGTGAAGTCTTCGAAGAGTTATTGTCAATTCTTTCCTTCGATTCCCCTAACAGAATTTATTATTTCCAACATTTTTTTTAACAAGCACCATTAATGCTTTCTTATTGTCTTTGTAGGACTGAATGGGCCAAATCCTTATGCAAGATTTTCCTGAGATCCACGTCTTGAGCTCTGGGAAACAACGACTGAGCTGTGGATCAGTAGCTTGGTCCCTGGTTGCAAAAATGTCCACCATCCAATATTTAACAGGAGCTAGAATAGTGAAAAAGTTTTCTGCAGGCAGGTTTTCGGTGTTGATAATCTCATAAATGAGTCAATTTAAATGAAGGCTTTCACTGAAGGTAAAACGGACACACGTGCCTGCAATCATTTTATTTTATTTTCAAAACCAGAGGAGTTCCTATTCCTTGTGGTTCCTCTTATTATTTATTAGCCTATAGTTTGATTATGCAAAAATGGAAATCACTCTAGATGTTAAAAATTAATTATATTTTTCCAAACAAAATCTGTTGTCACTGCACTTTCATAGTTGCTGCTGATTTTAAATGTACATTAGAGATCTTTTTGTTTTCTGATTATCCTGGTACTTGTTCCTCTTGGAATTGCTTTTTAGCATATTTTTAGAAAACATATTCCTAATTACTGTGATGAAGACTTCATCACGGATCATAGTCAGTTTTTGTCGCAATCAGGCTTGTTTTACTGCTGTTTATGTACAACATGGAGCTACATTCCTAAATAAAGATTTTTTGACTATCTACTGTGATTGCTCCATGTTGCATGTATCTTTATTTAAACAAATCAGTCTTGATACATTTTTCCGTTATCAGGGCAAAACGAGAGATTTAGCTTAGTTGTTTAAGAAATCTGACTCAAAATATTACTTAATCTAGGTTTTCCTTGATTTGCACTTCAAATTTTCAACTATAATCTTAAAAGGATTTCTTTATTATAGATTTCTACTTCACATTCCACAGCTTCCCTCCCTGACCTCCGTCTTGTCCCTTTCAACACTTCAGGTAAGAACAACTTATGGGAAAATCAAGGTTCAGGTTTATGTTAAACCAGAGCCTAAAGCTTGGAAAAGTACCATAAGTATGCTCTAATCATAGATGCTATTATGAAATGCTATTACCACATCAGACTAATAGCTACTGGTTTGATCTTCAGAGTACATATTAGCATGCATAATTATACATCAGACTCTAATGTTGCTGCAGTAGTTTATCAGCGTATGCACCCTGGGATGGCACCGTAACCAGCTTAGCACTAAAGAAAATACACATTAAATATGTTGATCAAGGTCAACTCTAAACAGGTGTTTTTTTAACTTAAGGTATATCATTTATTATTATTTGTATGCATAAAAGGATATTGAGAGGCCCACATCATGACAAAAGCACGCACGTGAGCAGTTAAACAGTTAAACATTTATCGATGACATTTGTTTTATGACGTTTATTTCCTGGTTTTCACATAAAGGAAATACAGACACGTTCAATTGGTTTCACAATGAAAGCTCATGGGTTCAGCTTTGAGAGGTGTAAGACGTGCGTGATCGAGCATTCTGCATGCGTGCGCGTACCCGAGTCCGCGCTCCCTTGAGGGGCAAAACCACGTGGCTTTCCCCGACCAATCGTTTATTCGGAACAGCGGTCCAGCGCGCGTACGCGTCAGCGAGGAGAACATTGGACAGAAGGCGGCAGGAAGACGCGCTAAAGCCCGGTATCGGTCTGTTCTGAACCCCCGAACACAAAACGAACCGAGATGTCAGAGGAAAAGCCAAAGGTAAGACGCAGAGGCTCTCACGGCGGCTCGTCTGTGCGGACGTCTGGGTCGGGCTGCTGCAAAAATCGCCTCGGAAATGTGCAATCTACAGGCCTGGGTTTGCACGTTTCTCCAAATTGGCGCAGTGTTGGTTTCGCAAAATGAATGGGAACCCACACATCTATACGTGTACTCAATGAGCAAGGCTCCACGATTGAAATGGAAATAAATCAAAACGACCTTGCCGCTGATATTGTCTTTTACATATAAATGTATTATAAATCCCATCACAGGGTATGTCTGTTTCGTGCGGTCCTCCCCCCTCACAACCACCTCTTTTGTCGAAAGGTTATCTCCGCAAAGCTGCAGAACGCCGCAGCTGGAGTTAGCGGCAAAAGAGCGCAAATGGTCATGACGCACCCGCTTTGAAAACTGCTGTCTCGGTGGCGCGTTCGTGCTCGTTCGGTTTCGTGGCTGTTCCGGTTCGTCTGGGACACAACAACACAAAGCAGTTCGCCACGTTAGCCCGGCAGCTAAACTTCCAATTGATCCCGAAGGACCGCCGGTGTGCTAGCCTAGCCTGGAGCTAATTATGCTAACGCTAGCATCTGGAAATGAAGTCTGTGGCCTGATTAGACATCTGGCTTTACTTGCGTCCTATTTGTTTGTACATTTCTCATATTTTTTATTATAGATATATTGTTACTTTGTTGTTGCCCTTAATTAGAAATTAAGAGAGACAGGCTGTTTTAAGATGTGAATACGAACTTTTTAAAACCATCTACTGTATCAAATTGTTAATGAAGATAGACATTATACACATATGTCTTAACATTGTTTTAATGCAAAGTCTTTGTTTTTGCCACACATTTAGCTACAATGCTGCTTAAGCCACCTACTCATCCACAAGCCATGGATTTCCACTGTATTTGTTAAAAACATAAGACACTAGCCCACAGGTGTCAGACTCCAGTCCTGGAGGGCCACTGCAACTTTTAGATGCGTCTCTGCTGCACCACACCTGAATGGAATAATTAGGTCATTAGCAAAGGCTATGGAGATCTCATCTACACAATAAGGAGGTAGTTAAGCCATGTCATTCCAGTGTTTTGTACCTGTGGCACATCTAAAAGCTGCAGGAACAGCGGCCCTGGAGGACTGGAGTTTGACACCCCTGCCTAACCAAGATTAAAGTCCGTCACTCTTTTTTCTTTCTCCCGACATTTGCTCTGCAGGAAGGCGTAAAGACGGAGAATGACCACATCAACCTCAAAGTTGCAGGTCAGGATGGATCGGTGGTCCAGTTCAAAATCAAACGACACACGCCGCTGAGCAAACTAATGAAGGCGTACTGCGAACGACAGGTGAGCTGCAAGACCGGTTGGCTGCCATAATGGATGTTACAGTACCAAACAACCGAATACAGAACTTTGCAAGTGTTCATATGACTTGAAATTTTCCCCATTTCCCCAGAAAACACTGGCTCAGTGTTAGAAATTTCATTCCTGTTTGCGCCTGCTTCGGTTTTCTGGTTGTTGTTTACCCGCTGCCCGTCTTCATCGACAGGGTCTTTCAATAAGGCAGATCAGATTCAGGTTCGACGGCCAGCCAATCAATGAGACGGATACACCCGCACAGGTATGGTTTCGCTTTTCTACACTGAAAAAAACGTGTAAACCAAACAGTTCACATATTTACTTTTGTCTGTTGTGAATGTATTGGGACTGCTCAGTCCTTACCCATCTATTTTTACATCCTCTTTCCAGCTGGAGATGGAAGATGAAGACACCATAGATGTTTTCCAGCAGCAGACTGGCGGGTGCTGCTAAGCCCGACCACCCACCTCACTGACGGCCATGTTCAAACCATGCCCTGAACCACCTTCACTGTCTCTCCCTCCCCGTTTGCTCCTGCCAGCTTAAAATTATTATTATTATTATTATTATTATTGATATTATTATTTTTCCGTTTTGAAAGACATTCTATGCCTGATGTGTCGGTGCTCGTCGGCTGTTTATTTGCTCTTTTAGTCAGGACTGAAGTCGAGTGTTTTCAGTCTTTGCGGTTGGCTGGTCAGGACCACCTTTGTCCTCGTCTGGTGCTGCAGATTGTAATCGGACCAACGGCTCTCCACCAGAAACTGCTGTTTCGGCTCTTGCCTCCCGCGCGCCGGAGTGTGGGGCTCTGCAGGGTTTTTTTTTTTGTCCAGGGGTCGCAGTCAGTGGGGCGCGTTTTTGAAGGGGACGCACCGTCTGAATTGAACACCCACCTGCTTGCTATTTCACTTTTATTTCGTTTTGTTTTTGTTGAGCAAATGTATTTAGGTATCTTGACATTTTAGGTGCTTCTGCATTGTTTTTGAATTTTTTATTATTTTTTTTTTTGCCTCCTGTTTAAAATTAGTTTTTTTTTTATCTTCCTGTATAGAAATATCCAAATGGGTGTTAGATTAGTTGTGAGGTTAAGAACAATACTCCAAAGACAGAACATCTGCTTCTCTTTAAGTGTGTTTCTCTAATTGCAAGGTTAAAACAGTGTCATTAGATCGTTAGTGTTCTGCTCCCCGGCTTCTAATAGAGATCAATCTGTTGTACAGATTGTCACTTGCTCAGGCGAAACGCTCGATCAGGGGGTAAAATAAGTCTAAGCCATCAAAGTAGGCTTCATTTTTGTCTGCGTCTTGGTAAAATGCATCTTTTTCCTCTTTATTTTTATTTTTTCGGCTATTAAACGGACGGCGATCTGTCGCTGCGATAAAAGCGGCTCCGATTGGGAGTTCAGCTGCGGGCGACGCCAGCCGAGAGCTCGTTTGTGACTCCAGTGCTGTCGTCGGCGTCAAGCGGCTTCCATTTTGAGCCCAGGACATCCAGCCAAAGCAGATTGCTGTAAGCACATCACTTTTCTACGACGCATCACCTGCTGAGATGTTGTGTTCTAAGCAAAATGCGTCCTGCTGCCGTGTTGGAGAAGATCTCAGACGAGTCTGGCGTTGGAGAGCGTGATGTTGGCGCATTGCTTCATATTCGTAGAGCAGGAAGGTCAGTCCCGGAGATGAGCGCGGGTCACAGCGTTGCTTATTTTTTAACCGTCGCAAACCTGGATCTTTCAGTCTGGAGTGAAATGAGCAGAATGCTTTTGAATGGGCTGGAAATCTGAAAAAGTGAACCCGTTTGGCGTCGCCTGGAGTTTTCCGGATGCTCTTTGAGGTTTAACACTCAGAAAACGGGTTAGGTTTTGTACCTGAGCAGGTTCGGTTTCATTCGGAACAAGACGGCTATACAAATGACCGCAGATCTCCTTCCCTTCTTCCTTTAGCCTGCCAGAAAGCCATTTCCCTTTTATATTAAACTGTTCACATCCATCTTATTCAGCCGTATTTTTGTATGCATCCTTTTTATCAGTCGAGTTAAGTGGCGGTATCTTTTTTTTTTTAAGCGAATATATATATATATATACATATATATATACTTGCCATCTGCTATCAGAACTCTTCATTTTACTGTTTAAGTTCACAGATGACTCCAGAACAGCCATCTCTTCCCATTGGATGGCCTGTTAGTTAAGTCTTTGTGCGACGCGTCTCGGCACAAATCATTTACTGGTAATGATTGTGAATTTAGCTTTCGTCACAAATATAAGAGCACATTTTATCAGTACCTACAAATCAGCCTTCCACATTCTTTGCATTTTAACAACTGGGTTTATCTGGACAGAAGTCTTTTGTGGCGGCTGGCTGAACTACACTGTCATGTATGAAGAATGGGGTCCAGGTCTCGTCCTGTTTGTTTCTCTACTTGTTTGTACATTATTTGTGGTCTTTTACTACTGTATACAATAAATATAGTTTGGTACTCAGATATGCGGTCTCATGCTTCATTATTCAGCTATATATTTTTTTTATAGAGATGCAGTTGCTGCATAATTTAGTGGGTCAGTTTATTGTTTGAACTTTAAATGCATTATGACCACTATGACCACACTTCAATTGGGATTTTATCT